AGGGAGCTCAGCCATTGCTGTGGCAAATAATGTGTCCAGGAAGCTTTCTTCAAACATTAAAAAAGAGCCACAAAGATGAGAAAAGAAGAAAGTCAGACGGCTCCCCGGTTGAAAACAAGAACTGACGCAGCTATTAATAAAAGTTCAATCAAACACACTATTTTTAAAGCGTCCTGCGTTCTATTCTGAGCGTTTATTATTTGCAAAAAATGGATATTTGTTGCGCACACATTGCCTGTAGGGTTTTTATTCCTCAATGAAATGCTGAATAGAACTTGCACACAATGCATCGGCTTATGTGTGTGACTTCTGGAGCGTAAGCATCCCAAGAAGAAGGCGAGTGAAACCCGACTGTGGCCTGCGGGAGATTGGAGACACTTAATCGGTCTCATTACACACGGCTCCTGCTGCTCGATACCGCCTTCGTCCCGACGTCCGTCCCCTCCGCTCAGTCCTGCTCGCTGCCGACAAGTCCTCACGTTTGACAGATTCTCCGTCCATCAAACCTCTCTTGAGGGAAGGTCAACGCAACCTTCGCTCCATCATTTCATCATACACCCCCCCACCCCCTCCTCCAAGAAGCTTGACTTTGATATTTGCTGAAGTGACGGCTGGCAGGAAAGGCTCGTTAGGATGCGCTTAGCGACGACGGCTCCGGCAGAGAGAGCCGACCGTCCTGATGGGCTCAAGAACCCTCCAGTGGTCTGAAACGGCTTCAGTGGAACCCGCAGTACAAAGTAAGCTCTTCTTAAGCGCCACATGCAGCTGCGTGCTAATTTAAGTACCTCGGGAGCATCGGGGTCACAAAAGCGGACAAAGAAAACGCAGAAGAAGAAGTGCAGGCGTGAAACGGAAAGAGCCGGTGTGGGGGGAGACGGGAGGAGTAGAGAATGAAAGTCAAGGGAGCGTGAGAGGGTCCGATAAGGTGAAATTGTGTTTCTTCCCATCTACTCTCCCCCGGGCTCAGCTGATAAGCGATGTCTGACAACACCGGCGGCAGGGGACGACTGTCATCTAAAACACTCCCGTCCATTTTGAAAGTGTGTGTGTGTGTGTGTGTGTGCACTACAAAAAAAGACAATGTGAGCTGCTTTGATCCTGTTCCAGTTAAGAAGACATCTATGACATACGCCACGCACACAGAGGTTAGAGGTCCGCGTGCCGGCTGGATCAGCTTGTAAAAAGCTCGCCGGGACACGAATGTCCCGAAAACAAGCGCGCACGCGCACACACACACACACACACAAACACACACACACACACAATCGCTGTTCTCTTTGAATTGACGCATAAACTCCTTCTGGGGCCCATTGCAGGAAAAAGGTACTGAAGTGTAAATAATGTAATCATATTTCCAAAGCAAAGGCCTTTGAGAGATCAGGTACAGTCGGCGGTATCACACCTTTTCATGTTTTTCATCTTTGCTGGAAACCTCCCGTCCCTGAAAGAGGTGTAATTTTGAAAATGCCAAAATTCCCAACAGACACGGATAGAAGTTGCTGTAACATCGACAGAAATATTAGCCAAATATTATGTTTCCACAACGACGCCTCTGTTCAGGACGGCGTTACCAACGGCAACGTGACCACTAACCACTGGGGCTAACAAACAGGGATCCAGGTGGAACCATAGCACGCTAACAAGCTCCGGTAAAGGATTTCTCTCCCTGATTTTAGACCATATATGCACCTGAGAAACTGCTCCTGATGTTGGAAACATCTGCGGCAACACAAGGACTTTGTGTGAATTACTCCGTGTGCAGTCGGGACGAGCCTTTTCACACCAGCCGCCTCCCTCTCGGATCATGGCACTGTGACAGATCGTCTCGCAGCCATTTGGAGAGAGAGCGTGTGTGTGTGTGTGTGTGTGTGCGCGTGCAGAGGCCAGGTGTGAGACAGGTACAGCGTTTCCTGGCAGGGCCCAGGGGTTCAGAAGGGGAGGGGCACTGATGGGGGTCAGTGCGGGATGCAACAGCCTCTCTGGTCCAGAGGGCTGGACCGCATCACACACACACACACACACACACACACACACATATACCATCAGGCATGGAAGCTCAGAATTGTGTTATGTGTTTATCTTGTGATGGGAAGAATCGGCGATAAGAAGTGCAAGAAATGTTTAATGAAAAGACTCTTCACAGGTGGCTGCACACAGCGGGGGATTGGAGCCCACGCAGGCCTCACAACCGCACGCTGCTTTTAATTACACTCACACCATCCACTGGACCATACAGAGAGCGAGAGGGATGAAACAGGGAAAAGAGAGGCCGGGGGAGGGGGGGTGGGTCTGGTTAAGGAAGGAGTGTTGACAGAAACAAGTAAAAGACAGAAAGAGGGCGACGAGGCCGCCTCTCCCCACAACCGCCGCGCTGCAGCGAATCGACTAATCAACGACGAGAGCGAGCCGTGGGAGACGTCGCCCCCGCCGCCACTTGTCCCGCCCTGTTAGCGGCCGATAACACGCAGAGCCGTTGCGTCGGATGACTTAAAAACACGCCGTCGCCGTTAGGTCGCGCTTATTTCCTTGAGGAGTAAATTCGCTGCAACATAAACTAACTTTTATTATTACATCAGTGGACGTTGTTATGGACTCGATTGATCAACTCTCGATTCTTTAGCTGCTAAATGCTCAGCAATAAAGATATTCATCCGCTCTGAGGACTATTTTTCACATTACAAAGTATTCTTACCCACTGTTAATAGAATTGTGTTGATCAGTGCAGCTTTAAGCAGTTTAGTGGTCTTCCTTTATACTGAAGAAAAAGTCATTTTTCACGGTGATTTCAATATTTTTCATGTAGTAGTTACTGTAATTTGGGAAAAGAAATGTTTTGTTTCTTTTAAGTCTCGGAAGTAGAAGCGCAACCATTTGTAGAGTGAATGCTTTACAGCAAAGAGCTTATTGGTTTACATAAGTTTTAATTTAAACACGACTTATTACTTTTCAAGTGGTAAAAACTGATTTCAAACTTTCTTGAAAAATAGAACAGAAAAAGTTGGTCCAACACAAGAGCTTTTACGGGATTCCAGCCAAACTTCAATATCATTCAGTCTACATCCATGATCCAAATGCACATTTAATACAATCCCACTGATCCTCCATAATGAAATCTCTGCCTCGCACCATCTGAGGAGGAATACAAACCAAACACCCTGATGACGACCGGCAGACGAATGCCGAGCTCCTTTCCAAAGACTGACAGAAAAATAATTACAACGTGCCGTGATTTATTTAGACGTCGGTAAATATTTCATCGCAGCGCACTGGTGTTCTGGCTTCATACGTATACGAGCCCGCGCTTCTCTTTCGATGTCACATGTAGTACTCAGAAAACATGGAACAGCCGTGGGATGAAAAGGGGGATTAATTTCTTAAATATTAACTTACTGACAAGCTCGTTTAAAATGTCGCATTTGAGCGCAAAACGCTGTGATGTGTTCGCCGGTTTCTTTGCAACCGGCGAGCGCGGGGATTCGCCTTGGCAATAATCATTAACCCAGATTATTAGCACGCCGCCTCCCTCCGCAGTCTGTGTATCATCCGTCATAAGAGGCACGCGCTCCGTCAGGATAATCACCGTGACGGACGGGACGGCCTCTCGTCGCCGTCCGGCCGACACACAGAGCCATTAATCAATCAAAGCTCTCCACTCGGGGGAGGGGGGGGGGGAGGGAGGGAGGGGGGGGGTGTTCACAGGCGCAGTAATCCATCAGTGCTCCTCACATCCACGCGCGAATCCGTCAAGTCAACGCGGCTCGCTCAGGACGAGAGAAGTGCGGCGCGGGGAGCAGAAAGGCAGGGCAGTGGAGCCGAGGAGCGATTCGTTCACAGTGTGAGAAACAAACCAATAAAGTGATTCATTTGATTGATCATCACAACATATTAGTAGACCCCCATCTGGCTGGAAGCCTCAACAATCTCAGTAGCGTGTGTGCTTCACATTGATCCGAGCGCAACCTTGTGCTCTTTCCTGTTATGAAGGCAGTAAATTAAAACCCTTCATGTCTCCTTTCTCACACATGATGTCACGCTACGGTGTCTGCGGTCCTTTCTAATAGCCCACCGAGGACTTTGTCTCCACCAAACAGAATGTAACTTAAGGAAAACGATGTGGTTTTCGAACCCCGTTATATAAAATCAAAATAAACTGTGTATATAAACTGTGACATTGTTGTTTTTGGCCACAACTTGCTCAGCGGTTACACATCGGTCGACCCACGCAGGCAAGTATAAACAAAGGCGTGCGTGCACGAAGCGACCCCACGCGCCGTATCAGAAGTAATCGGAGACATGAAGCCTCATCGATCAGAAGCGCTCTTCCCTGGAGGATTACATCATTGCAAGCAAATAGCCAATCAGAGCCCAGCAGACTGTCCGCTGCGTGAACCCATCTCCGGTAAAAGGGAAGGTAATAAAACCCAGATACACTACACACCCCCTCACCCCCCTCCCACACTACTCTGGTCACGTCACACAGAGGCATTTATAACCCCCCCCCCTCAGGTATTTAGTGTTTTTATGTAAACCTCCACCACTGCAATGCTCTTCTAGTGAGTGTAACAACGGTGCATGTTGCCGTATTGTTTTTTACTGAAACACATCTCGCTGAGCTCTGCCTCTCACGTATACAATGCATTTGCAGATTGTGCTGCATAACTTTGGAGATGACTTATTGTTTGCAGTATATTCTGAAGTTTGAGTGTGGGCAGGAAGAGGAACAGTGAATTTAGTTGCCAAATACCAGTCTGTTGCATAATATATTACTTATATTCTGCTGTAGTGGATACAATACTGCCATATATCAAGAAGTCGTTGTTAAAACTACTTTATATTTTATATTTCTAGCACTGACTTTTGGCCCCCATGTTCTGCTTCGCTGTTGATTCTCTGCTGAAAGCCTTACATCTAAAATGACAGATTCAAAAAAGGCTTCGAAAGGACTGCAACGCAGACCTGCAGCAGCAGCAGGAGGAGTCAGGTCGCGTGTGTCTGCCTACCTTGATGTAGCCGCCAGTGGAGACCAGCAGGCCGTTGTCCGGGGAGAAGTGCAGGTCGGTCACCCAGCCTCCGTGGAGCGAGTCCATGCAGTCTTTTCCGTCACGCGAGCAGATCCTCAGCAAAGTGCCCTCCATGACGCTCCACAGCTGTGATGGACAGCCGAACAGAATACACAAGTCCTAAAGTCAATGTCGCTGATGAATAACGGTGATGCCCGACTTGACTTAAATCAAACGCTCGAGACCCATGGTGCAGAAGAAGGAGAAGAAATGAATGTTCTTCCTCAGAAAGGATAGTTAGATTGTTTGGGATTCATGCTAGCTTGGGATGATTTATGTTTGCATATCTAGCGGTTACGACTTGTAGGCTTTTGAAGGATGCTTAGGTCACATGATAAGGACTAAACGCCATCTGAAGGTCATGATGTTTTGCTTGACAAATTTCTATTTCTAAAAAAGGTCAAGGGGAACCTTCGCGCCCAATAAACAACCTGTGCAATGAGGAGCATTTGTCCTGATATTCAGGGAGAATCGAAATGAGAAACGACGCATAACGCACCTCGGACATGCAAAGATGGTTGTGCAGCACATCATGTCGATTGCAGCTGTTACGCGACTGTTCACATGCCACATTTGACAATGACACATCACACGCACAGCTATATTTAACACTTGGCATGCTTTTGTGCGGAATGACTCACATTTGTTTCCATAGAAACAGGGGTGAGATTTCAGTGTGGTTTATGTAATTGGATCTGATGGGCTAATGGAGCCGCTCAGCTCGGAGGCCACCAGGGGGAATTAACCCCTTGTTGTCTGCAGGCTGACAGGGCGCCGAATCCTCTCTGCCTTTCCCGCAGTCAACCTCGTCTCTTAGTGTGTGTGTGTGTGTGTGTGTGTGAGTATCAAGGGCTGCCGATTTAAAAGCCTGTGGGATCCAACTTGGCAGCCCGAGTCCTCTCCTTCCCCTCCCACTGTCAAGACGTCTCCTCCTCTTCCTGCGCTCTTCATCACAACCTCCTCACACAGCCTGCACCTCCTGCAGCTCCCGCTCCCCCAGAAGGAGCCCTGCCTCCTTTCCTTTCATCCTCACCACGGCTGCAGCTATCACGGTGTGTTAGTAAGCACTTTCTCTGAACGAGCGATGAGGTGTAATTACGGGCTGATCTCTGGAATAAATGTTGACTGCCGTAATTGAGTTTTTGGATGTTGCGTTGTCAAATGTCATCGTTTCGCACTAACAAGCCGTGTTCGGTGTGTGGACACACAGGTGTGAGTAACTTGAGGCAGACAGCTTATGTAGATTTCTAACAATGCTGCACAGGCCAAACGAGCCTGGATCGGCTAACGGCAGTAAGAACTGGAAAAGGTTAAAGGCGGAGCGAGATGGGTCGGTAGGCTGCAAGTTATAAAAAACAACATTGGAGGTCGCACATTGGAAAAACACAGAGATGTACAGACGAAGAGGGATTGTTTTCCGCACGCACCCGAATCTCCCCATTGTCGTCTCCCGTGGCGAGGCGGCGGCCGTCCCAGGAGAACCGGCAGCTTCGGACGCAGTCTCGGTGGCCGCTCAGCGTGTGGACGCACTTCCAGGTCTCACAGTGCCACAACTACAAGAGAGAGGTTTGCATTAAGAAGACTGAAAGCAGACATTTCCAAATGAATGTACACACGCCGGGTTAATGCAAACAAACAATCTGCTGTGTCGGATACACACGGCAATAAAACTGATGTGAGTGACTAACTCCCCTTGGATGGAGTGTAATTATACATGCCAACACAGGATTATATAATTGAATAACGGGTAATAACAATATATTTCATTGGTCTTATGGAGATGAATAGGAGTTAATAATAAGGCTAAATGTTGTTTCAGCTCTGTATCATAACGACAAAGCTGTTAATGACTCTCTCTCACGCTGTTAAGCTCCTCTCACTTTGATTTTCCCTCCCTTTACTTTTGGTCCCTCATTCGTTTTTCTGTTTCTCTCCATTCTCTCCTTGCCCCCCCCCCCCCCCCCACCTACTTGCCCCCCGTCAATCGCATCCTGCGTCTCACAGAAAATAACACGGCTCATAATTAGACACCTCATTTGGAAGCCGGCTAACTACGTCTGCACGCGCAGTCGCATTCTTCTGAAGGTCAGCGGAGAAAGAAAGAAAGAAGAGGTGGGTGGGTGGGTGGTGTGTGTGGGAGGGGACGGGGGGGACGACACTCTCGGCGGAGTCCTTTTACCTCCACAGCGAGGACTATGTGACTGGCAGCTCACCAGCCAACACACACAACACACACACACGCCTCATCTTTGCCAAATCCATAAAACACACATTCTCTCTCTCGCCACCATCCTTTTGGCAGACGCCAGGTTGGCCGCCGACCCGGTGCCCGTTCTCTTGACAGTAAGTGCCGACCAAATCCAGATTCCCACGTGACATCCGGGGGTTGAACAAAGTTTTCCCTCTTTGGGTGATAAGTCGGAGGAGCAACGGTTTTAGAGCTGTGAGTGGGGACGTTTAAAAAAAGAAAACACGTGTCCGGCTGTCAAAGTCACTCCAAGGTCGAGCGCAGCAGTTGTTGTTGTTGTTGTTGTTAAGCTGCAACGTGGCTCATTGACCTGCAGCTGACTCACCGGGCCCGAGGCTTTCTGCCGGACGCTAATCTCTGAGGCCCCTCGCTGCAGTCAGATACCTCCCGCCGCGAGGACGCACCGCAGTAATGAGCTGTTACCAGCGGCCCAAACAGATATATCTTGTGTGTCTGTGTGTGTGTGTGTGTGTGTGTGTGTGGGTGTTGGACCTTAGCTGTGTTGTCGGCAGAGGTGGTGGCGAAGAGGCATCCGTCAGGCGAGACGCGGCAGGACAGGATGGCGCCCCGGTGCGCCTCGATGTCCTGCAGCTTCGCTCCACTTTCTACGTCCCACATCTTCACAGTGGTGGAGAGCAAGTGATTATTTCATGAAGCTGTTGTATCACGTGTGTGTGTGTGTGTGTGTGTGTGTGTGTGACAGGGCTCCACCTTGACAGTGCCATCAAAGGACCAGGACAGCAGTTTGGCGTCATCGGGGAGAAGAGAGAAGCATCTGACCTGCTCCTTGTGACCCTGCAGCACTCTGCACTCCCCAGACTGCCACCTCCACACCTACAGGGGGCAACAAAGGAACAAACCGCATATAGAGTACCGAAATATACGTACAGCAGAGCAGACTATTTTCAGTCTGCTGATTTCATCCCTGCACATCCGTCGGCTTGTTTTATGACAGGCAGGTAAAAGGGGATCCGCGGATATCAAACTGGAGGGCGGGACACGCAGAATCCTCCCGATTGGATGGATCCCAAAGGTCAGAATCCATCACCAGCTGACAGCGGTGCGGTTGCATCTCTTTACATTCCCTCTGCGTCTGCGTTAACGTCTAAAACACACGCTTCCATTTCCCGGTGAGCACTGATGTCAAACAGCGCGGATTTGACCAGCTGCTGAATAAGCGGCCGGCGGCCCGAGAATAGCAATGGCAGCCGCCGCACGAACGCGGAACGCGGTGCTGCGGCGTCGGGAGAGGGATGGGAGCGCTGCGGTGGATGGTCTGTCGGACGGTGGGAAAAAAAAAAAAAAGATGAAGAAGCAGGAGGAGGAAGAGGAGGAGATGAGAAGAAAGCGGAAATGAGCAACAGAGCATGAACGGTGGGGGTTGACGGACCATAACGGCCCCGAAATACACACACACACACACACACACACACAACCAGCTGCACACCGTCCACACGAGAGATGAAGCGCTATCGAGGGCAGCGTAGCCGAAGGCGAAGGGAGGGGAGATGGAAGGAAAGGAGAGAAAAGAAGGGGGGTGAAGAGTGGAGAGTCAAAGAAGCAGTGCGGGTGAGGGGGGGGGGGGGGGGGGGGGGGGGGGGGGCCCGCTGATTCGCCGGTTTTTAATGTGAGGCATTCAGTTTGATCATATCCGGGGAAGAGAAATGACAGCCGGTTATGGCAGGAGGTGAAGTGATCACGCCAGGAATTAGGCCAAAAAAAAAAAAAGACGGCGTGGATAAGAGGGGGAGGAAAAGGGAAAACCGGGCAGAAAAGGGGGAGTTATGGGGGGGAAAGGGGGGTTTGGTCTTTACCCTGATGGTGGTGTCCTCGGAGGACGTGAGGAGGGTCTTGCCGCTCTGGCTGAACCGGCAGTGAAGCACCGTCTTGGTGTGTCCGAGCAGCGTCGCTAGCAGGTTCCCAGAGGGAACCTGCAGCACCTGCAGGGAAGAAAAAGAAACATTTAGCGCCCCAGAGGCAACAATCAATAATGTTTACCAGCCAGGAAAGAGGCTCTGTGATGAAAAGTCACCAAAAGTTCTTTATTAAATTCATTCCGAGGGAAAACGTGGACGTCGGCGCCAGAAGAAGTCGACACAGAAAAGTCACACGGCGAGGGAGGGAGCCGAGCAGATCAGAAATGTTCCGTTTGTTTTTTCTGGGTTGACTACATTATTTTCATGACTAAGCACTTTTTCCTCCGCAGTTTTTGTCAACAAAAAAGTTGAACTGGGTTGCCATGAAATAAGACTCTGGACATTAATGACACGCGCAGGCTGAATTATTGTGACTTTAGCTGTAGCTTTACTTCTAGCGGCAAATCATGACGCAGCATTGTGAGCATGTTAGCATTAGCCAATAGCAGGGCAGAAGCGTCTTGTTAATATGTTTATATATTACAAAATATATAAAATATCAGACATTCCTTGGAGGAGGACAATATCTAAAACTATCCTCGGATAATGTTTATCTGATTGTGGGTTTCCGGCAGCGTCCGGATTAGTTGAGTATTTACGAGTGCAATCAATGAATTCTACTTATCAATACCAAAAAGCGCTAATTAGGGTGTTGAGAGGGGACACATGGTTAAAGATTAAAAGTGTAATTATAAAACTCTTTTGCAGCACTTCCTTCAAAGCCTCACATGTTTCTTATTATTAACTTGAGGACTTTCATAGTGATGAAAAAAACTCAAAATACCGCAAAAATTCCAATTTCATTTAAAACCTGGGAATAAAGCACACACACACACACACTGTAAGTAAATGAGCACATGTAGTTTTGAAAAGTACAACAACACAGAGACGCACACAGTGCTTGGGATTCTACCAGCCACTAAAATATTTAACGTCTCACGGGTGTTAAAATGTCAGAGCGGACGAGGCCTCGCTCGGAGTCATCGGGAGCGTTTCACAGGATCCACGCGTGCGTTATTTGGGGCGATTCCTGAGACACACACACGCAGATGTTTGTCTTCCCCTACCTGCGTGTGTAAAGCCCTACAGCCAGCATCGCCCCCCTGGAGGAGGCCAACAGGCGTCGCATCCTGCAGCCGACTGTCTTGACTACCTGCGAGCGCTGCTACGTTGCACAGAACACACACACACACACACACACGCGCACTTTTCCAATTGCAAAGGATCGCACAGTAACTTTCTGTCCTCGCCGCATCTCACAAGGACAAAGCTTTTTTTTTTTCTTTCTTCATGATAAAAGGAAAAGAGCAATGCGGTGGTCAAAAGCTCCAGGAACCGACCCGGCTAGCACCGTGGCGCCCTCTGGTGTTTGCTCACGGGGAATACCAGAGAAACATCTGCGTGGACGCAACGACAAGTTGTATCTTAAAACTAAAAAAAGGTTTTGTAATGCCTTACTTGGGTATAAATTAACCTTATCTTGCAAATAAATGTTAAAAGGAGGGGAGGAGTTCTCAAAATAAGCCGCAGAACATAACGCATTGGTCCACCACTGACCTCAAGTAGCGGTTTAAAAATCGTGGCTTTGTTGTAATTTTTTAACTGTTGCAAAAAAGGCTTACGCGCATTTTCTGTGCATCAAGTATCACATTATTTTTAATGCCCTTTTTTGTTCCCCCCTGGTTTTAAGAACTTTGGTTTACTAATGGAGACGTTCTTCTTCAAGTCCCCTCGTCTGCTAATCCTCACCTCTCATATGTCTGGGGCCAGGAGCACAGTTGTAATTAAAATAACGAACTCCTGTATTCATTATGACTGCACGACCTTCTTATTTCATTAGAGAAGTCTCTGCTGTGTGGCGCTGGCTGCTGCAAGGACACCTCAGGGGACTGTGTGCATATACGAGTTCTTACAGATGTCTGGGATGTCCCAGGGAGATACAAGGGTGACGGAAAAAAGTAAAATGGAAAGGAACCTGAACACACAAAAAGAAGCATCCCTCAAACACATACACACAAATACCTCCCTGTTCTCTCCTTGTCGGAGAACTACGGTGGCTTTCATGTCACGTAAAAACTTAAAAAGGGCGTCCGAGTTTGCCCGAGTTTTGCTTGGTTCCTAATCGTGGACTCGAGTCTGGAAGTGTTGTCTACCTGCACGGTGCCATCTTCCTGGCCCAGGGCCACAGCGGAGGGCTGTCTGCACATGGACGTACACCGGATCCTGGACGGCTTCTCCTCCGACTGGAACAACACGGATCCCGTCCGGCCGTCGCGAACCTGACACACACACACACACACACACGACACCATGATGAAGGCACATCCCCGGTGCATCGCTCTTTGATTCATTCCTTCAGTGCCTCCACATTTTCTCCTCCAGCTCACCTGCAGTCGGTTGCAGTTGTCTGCAGCGGACACTATGATTTCTTCGTCGTTGAAGAGAACGTCGGAGTCTCTTTTCAGGCAGACAGCCGAGGTGGTGTGCACCTTGTTCGTCTCCCATAACTTCAAGAAACAGACAGGAAAACCACAGAACATGCTTAATTGCTTATTTGTAACTTTGTGAGTTCATCTTTGGTGGGAAGATGCAATTAAAAACGGTTTGCATACACTGCGCTGAAACCGAACAGCTGGCGAAGCGAGAACAGAGTCAACCTGTGACGTCCGCGCTTAGCACAGGCGTTGATTCCACAGGCGGTAATTAGAACAATACCGACGGTATCCGCGGAAGAAAAGCTGCTCCGCTAATGCCGACGCGGCACATGGCGAGGCGGTCTTACCCTGACAGTCTGGTCGTCGGAGCAGGAGAGCAGCTGTGAGCCATCACGAGAGAACTGGACACGCTGCACCCAACTCAGGTGGCCACTGCAGTCCGCCATCTTCTTGTTGGCCTCCAGGTCCCATAGCTGTAACACACACTGCTGAGCATCTATTCAACCTCATATTATCATCCTCTCCGGGAAAGAGTTCAGCAACGCATCAAAACGAGGCATACTAATGGGATTTAACAAAAAGGACGTAAACACGTGTTGTTGTGAGTAAGTCCCGTACCTCCACGGCGTAGTTTGAGAACGCGATCGCCAGCAGGTTACTGGTGGGACAGGCGTGACAATATTGCACCGTGCTCAGGCGATTCGTTCTGATCTCCAGCAACATGTCCGATGTCTCCACGTCAAACACCTGAGAAACGCCCAGAAAAAACAAGTCAGACCGGCGTCGTGTCAGGACACAGCGAGGCCCCGTTAGGCATATCCAAGAAAGATGCAAGCGTTGTGTAATAAGTCGATGGTTATACTCGTTTAGAGATGAGCTCAACCAATACTTGCTCTGTGAGGCCAATAACAACATGTGAACATCGGTCCCCCTGGTGGACCAACCACGTAATGGCAAACCTGTTTCCAAATGACCTCAAATATATTTTTGGCCTTTTTGTATTGCAATCTATCAATGCCAATATAGTGCATACATCAGCTGATAATATCAGACCCGCCAAAGTAAAGGTTAGAATCTACAACAAATCAACGGAGTGTGTATTTAACAAGTCTGTATTGACCTTTAATGCCTAAAAAAAGTATCATCTTGAGCAAATCCGCGACATTGAGGGTCCTTTCCTTTATGTCGAAAGGAAGTGGGGCGGGGGGGGCTTACATTTAACGCCAGGTCACACCCTCTTTAGATTCTGTAGATACTCTCGTTTACATTAAACGGCAACAAGGGCAGTGAGGACGAAAGTGAAACGCGCGCTCACCAGAGCAGCGTTCCTGGCTGCACATATGATGCGTTTGCCGTCAGCCGTCCAGGTGCTGCACTTGACGAGGACCTCTTCATCACTCTCTGCAAACGCGTCTCTCACATTGATGGTCTTCCACTCGTTGGCGGACGACGTGTGGAACAGCTGCACACAATACAGCTGTGTGGTTAGTTAGGTGCCCAAATACCTACTTATTCGGGGCGGCTTTGGAGGTAGCTGGCTGCATGTGGGGGTCACCTTAACGGTGCCGTCGTTGGAGGACGTGGACAGGTAGGTGTCACTGGGGGAGAAACAGCAGTGGTTGACCGGCTCAAAGTGGCCAAAGATGGTGTTCTGGGACGACGGTTTGTTGAGGTTCCAAAGCTGCAAAGTACGACAATAACAGATACTTAGAAACAAGGGGGCATGGCACTCAATGAGGGGAAGGAAAAGGCAAACGTGTGAGATTTTAAAAGCAGCCAACACCGTTGCCCACCTTGGTATTCAGGACCTTGTCGTTGGAGCAGGTGGCCAGCAGCAGGCGTGGCGTCGTCGAGTTGGTGAACTGACAGTGGTTGACCTGCTCCTCGTGCTCCTCCTCAAAGACCCTGAGCAGCATGGCTCTCTCCACGTTCCACACCTGCAGGAAGAGAAGCACAGTTTCAAGGACGCTGCAGAAGAAACGCTGGACTTTGTGTGTCCTTTGCTTGCATGCTGCTGCGACCAAGTCGCGTCACTTCTGGGCTGACCTTGACTTTCCTGTCGCTGGAGCAGGTCGCTAGGAGACGGTCGTCAGGGGAGAAGGCACAGCAGAGCACCTCGTCGTCATGGGCCTGGATCTCCATGAGCTTCTCCCCAGAGGTGCTTTTAAACACCTGAGTGTGAAAGAAGTAACTAGTTGTGCACCGTACAGTAACATTGATAGCGATTTGGAAAAGATATTATTTTTGCTATTAAAGTGGATAGATACCTTGAGCATCTTGCTGGCTCCACTGGAGGCGATCTTGGCTCCGTCTTGCGAGAAGCAGGCGGAGTAGATGGAGCCCTGGTGCGGGTGGATCACCAGTCGGGACAGACTCTCTACACTGCCCTTGTTCCTGAAAGAAATACAGAAAACATACATTTTAGTCAACCCTGGGATGACTATCACACATATTCTTGAATTTTACCTCCATAACTTTATGATAGGGCCAAATAGAAAACTTATGATGAGGTCATTGCTCTTTCCTCTAGAACCATTTCTAGTCTAAGTAGAAGATCTATTTGTTGAATATGGCTAAATCCATTTCTTAGCGGAATCAAATTAGCTTTCATACTCAATGCGGCTGCAGAAATCTTCTAAAGTTGCATCGCTTGATTTCAACTTCATTACAAGAACATCCACAGTAAAACACGTCCTTGCTTGCTTACAGCCACTCAAAGTAGAGCTTCCCCGTTGTGGCCCGGTCACGTGCTTGCAGCAGAGCCTGTTTGTAGACCTCGGATGTGCGTGGCTGAGACAGAGCCAGCTGCACCACGTCAGGGAACGGACGCTGCTCCAGGTGGTGGCCGTTCAGAGAGAGGAACTCCTGGAATTGACTCCGCGTCTCAGAGTTCTAGGGGGGACAAAAACACGAGCATGTTACAACAACAAGAAGCTCATGGAGGTCCAACTTCAAACTTCAGCTTCCCCGTATGTGGTCACAGGTCATATTTCGATGAAGGAGAAGGGGTGTCCCCCTCACCTGCAATAATGTAAATGATTCAACGTCACCGCACTTCATACACAAAGTTCCGCTGTCAGCTGACCTCTTTGTCCAGAATGGGTCCATACTCCACGTAGTCATTGATGAGGTAAGCCGGACCCATCAACTGGGCCTTGGTGCTGACCCAGTCCAGAGAGAACATGAGCGAGTACAGCTCCTGGTCAGGGAAGGGCACGGAATGAGACACGGGAGATAAAGTATTGTAGATACCAGCTGTGCACCTGTGCTTGTGTGTTACCTGGAAGAGGTTGGCTTTGGCCATGTGGTAGGTCAGGAATCTGATCCAGTAGAGACATTCTTCATCTCCTGAGGTGGAGTGGGCATCTTTGTAATGCTGCTGGTACTGATGCACCACTTTACTATGGAGGCTCTGAAACACACACACACACACACACACACACACACACACACACACACACACACAAATGAATGTGTGTCAGCCAGCTAAAAGCAAAAATAAAAATCTAACGGTTTTAGCTTGTTGCGTTGCATCCAAACTGACCTCGAGCTGGGTGCGATTCTGCTCCACCAGGAAGTCCAGCTGGAGGTCATGGAGGTAGTACAGGAAAGGTTTATTGTGACTGTCCACGAATAGCAGAGACTTGTTGACAAACTCCTCGAGAATGTCCTCCACCTCCTCCGTCTCCAGGTCCCACAGAACAGCCAGCACCTGGAAGGAGGGTTAACACTGTAGCACCTTTGGAGTGAAGGTCCATTTCCTTCATTTTCATTTCTATATAGAAGCATTGTGGCGATAAGTGCCAGCTAGACCATATACAACAATGAAAAAACACCAGTTTAGGAAATTCAGGGTGTGAACATTGCGCTTGTTGTGCAGCCAAACCTTTGCAGGGACTTTGGTGTCCTTCTCCAGCACAGTTAGGTCCTTGTAGAATTCTCGATGTTCGTCTGGTAGGACTTCGATGCTCGCTGCCATGGCTTGGTCGAGGGCGTCGTAGTCATAAGACGATGACTTCCTTATTCGCTTGAACTGCTTCTGCTGCAACTGGCCGAGGTAGTAGCGCCAACGGTTGGGTTTCTCTCGGAGTAGAGCCCCGATAAGGGACACCACCAGTGGGGAACCTGAGACGGATGCACATAGAATCAGAAATGTGTCTGCAAAAGGCAAAGCTCCAAAATAAAAAATGTAAAAAGAGGATAACGCACTAATATTTGATGACCCTGTAAACAAGATCTTTGATATTAGCAAATGCAGAATTGAATCAGGTCTTTGTTTCTCTTATGAAAAAAGAACCAATCAAATATTTTAATGGTGTATGGCAAATTATATATGTAAAAACATCTGGAATATATACGGCTTGCATATAGAGAATGCTTCAGTTTACAGACCTTTGCATTCTCTGACAATGCTGCGAGCCTCCTCGGGAAGTCCCTTGAGTTTGGTTTTAGTGTACAGGGCAAGGATCTCCAGTCCCTTGTTTTCATCCAGACCACTTTCCACTTCCACCTCGTATCTGGAGCCTACAAGATAAAAGGTAAAACACATAAGCTATAAGCTGTGTAACATTTTGGTTTGATTGATTCAAGTGTACATGTGTTTGGTGTTGAGAGTAAAAACAGAAAACAGGGCACATACCACTAACAGAGTCAGCAAGGCTTCTGTTTCTGGTGGTAAAAAGTATCCGACAGTGGAGATCAAACGCCTTCAGCACTGTGCTGTCCCAGATGTCATCTAGAATCAGGAGGGATCTGAAGGAACATCAGAAACAGTCGAGTGATCAGAGACATGGTAACTGTGACAAACAAACAGTGTTTATCTCAGTATCTCAGTATTCTTCATTTATCTCGTTATTTCAGGAAAATTAAAAAGCAGGCAAATTATTTTTTTATGCTTGTGGACAATTGAACAATGATATGCATCTTAAAAAAAATAAGAACACAAAGCTGATCCTGTCGATCTGAACATAAAGCCACCTTGGATGTCTGCGCAACATGAGGAAGCGCAGACGCTCCTTAGCCTCGTCCAGAGAGTTGGGGGGCCGGTGGAGGGGGTGGGAGTCAAGGCTCTGCTCCAGACGGAAACACAATGACTGGATCTTCACCAGCAGGTCTGGTTTGTCCAGCTGGCCGATGGACAGCCAGTGGATTCCACCGGGAAAGCAGTCTGCAGATGGAGGAAGCAGAAAGGCATTGAAGTGAGGCAAGAGACGATAAGCTACAGAGAACAAACAACCAAGCAAACACTTTGAGATTCGAACTTTTGTCAGCCGGTGAAAGACTGCTCACCTTCGATGAGCCCATGGTGTCTGGCCGCCTCAGCAGCCAGGACAGATTTTCCCGAGCCGGCCATGCCGAAGACGGTGACCCAGCCGGGCTCCTTCTGCAGCCGGTAGAGTTTCTCCCTGACGCGGTTCACAAGCTCTGGTCTGCTGACAAACACCACCGGCCTCTGTGGGACGCCCCCCTCACTGAGCACTGTCTGCACTGTTAACACAAACAGGAAAGGGATTCACGGAAAATATTAAAACGACAATAGAAGGCAGAAAAGTTCAATAACATACTTTTTTTAAAATCTCACCATGTTTAGACTTTAGTAGCCAAACACGTCCAACCAAAGTAGCACATTCAACCCAAAACCGCCATGAAATGATTGAGCACCGCCACCCTTTTCTCACCGTAAGGCGTGCAGCAATCAGTGGAGCGCTTGAGACCCTCAGGTAACCCGAGTGGGAGGTCACGATGAAGCAGATTAGCCAAATCGTTGTATCCCTCCTGGACCATTGCATTGTAGAAGGAGATGTAAGCACGGTTGTCCTTCATGAGCAGCAGCGCCAGCAGAGCCGCAGCCTGATCCTTCCTGGAGGGCTGGTGAGGTGGGGGACAGAGAGGGATAGAGAGAGACAGATTACAGTTTAGGCACTCATTTCATAAATAACAGTGTATTTCTATTTTGGAAAATTGAGTTGTTGCAAACAGGTATGATTTGCCATACTTAGAACCGAGAACGCTTTTAAATAAAAGTATGACAACTCACTATAATCCCTAAAGCAATATAAGCTTTGGATTCTCAAGACTGAGCCAGTTTCTAAATAAATGTATGAAAACTCCCAAAGCCCAAGACGAGGAAACGCCCAGAGGACCATTCTGGAAGTTAGAATATGCACGTAACAGTGGGCAAAATCATGAATAACTCCTTCACCTTCCCACCTAAAGCTGAGGCTCACCTGATTCTTTATCCTCTCCTCCTCGTCGCCAGTCAGCACGCCGTCAGTGACCATGTGGTCCATCAGGTAGGGGGGCTTGATGTCGTCCTCCAGCCGGTGGCGAAAGCGCATCAGACAGCTCCGCGCCCCTTCCTCCAACGCCATCGCTACACAACACGCCGATCATGCAGGATCCTGTTTTTACTGCAAATCGATAGGATTATAATACATAGTGTGTTCTCCTACCATAGGCCTCGCCCTCTTTTAGAGAAAATCTAGTTTCATACAGTGAAGTTGGGAGACGCATTGCTTAACCCACAACACCTTTCTGTTATGCTGAGTCAGGTAAGGGATTTCCCCAAATTGTTGCCACACATTTACAATATCATTGCATGATGTCATTTTGTATTTTCCTGACTTGGTCTCAAACACGAAGGCCTATATAGATGCAAAATCACAGGTGATCCACAGATTTTCCCGTTAATTATATACATACTGGTTAGTCGCCTACATGACGTGACCGACTTAAGCAAACATACAGCACACTTTTATTTGATGCGTTTACAAAACACAAAAAGAGGAACCGGAAGATCTTAAAAGTGAAACAAAAAGAGGCAGTCAAATGATAACATAGATGATACAGAAGCGACTTTTCAAAGAGCTTAAGCAGGCTCCATGATATTTTGTTCTAAAGTAGTTAAGTCGAAGTCTGGATAGCTTACCGACCTGGTTGGTATAACTTTTAATGGATCATTTCTCTTGAACAGGATCAATAACATTTAGGTAATAAAATAAAATACACCTACTTTCAGACAGTTCAGCAGGCGTTGCCACTCAATGTGAAACTGTATATAACTTACATACTGTAAGTCGGGGCTTGACTTCAGTTAGCTGTTACTTCTGTTATCGGTTATCATTCACCTCCAATAGACTGACGCACTCTGCTCCTTTTAATACTTAACGTTATCTCGACAAGTTCACCTCTCACACTCACTGACATGCTGGAGAATGAGACAAAGAAAGTAACCCCCAGTAAATACTTACAAATATCCTTTTGTTTCTCCGCCGTGAAAGGTCTACGTTGAACTGTATATTGATTTACGCTTATAAAAGTCCAGTGTATGAAAAAGCAATTTATTTATCTCTGAACGTTGTGCTACACGCCCAATTTTGATAGAAGAGCTTCCTGGTTCGCAACAAAAACAACTACCCCGCTGTGAGGCAGCCAATTGCGTTGCCAGCTTTGAACCACGTGACTGGTGAGGTCACGCACTTCACGGATTTGTAGCTAGGCAAACTCGTGGTGCTTTCACGGACTCCTCCTCTGCTCGTAGATAGGTGCACTTACACATTGCTTTTGCCTTTTTCGCTTGAGCTTAAACCGCTACTCGTGTGTAACTAGTATATCCAAAAGTTGTTGTGTCGGGTATTTTTTTAATCTAAATTTGTGACACACTCTCAATGCTTTCAGTGTTGGCTTTCCGTCATTTTAAAGTCCATTATTTGTGTGTAACTCTATTATAACGTAAAGTTACTGGACTACCTTGAAGCTAACATTACTGCCTGGTGACAGCACGAATTGAGAGCGTGTTGTTTATTCCGCAGTATAGTGATGCACTGATGCAATTATGTGTGTAGATATATGAATGTATGAGCTCTCCGTTCACCTGATTTTAATGCAGTCTCTGAAATATATTATATAAATATCATTCTAACCAATTAAGTGATTATCTGTTTTGTATAATTTTTAAAGGCATGTCTACATTTCCACTGCTTTTTCATTCCACCATCGCTCTTATTTTTATTTGAGTTTGTGATTTGTCTTTCTTGGCAACGTGTGAAGTCCAGGATGTCTCACTAAGATGAAGTTTAATCAGATGGCTGTATTTAAAGAAAATTGTGACAACCCCCACGTCCTGCTACCTTGTGTTGGTAGATTCCTCTCACTTTTGACCTTATTAGAGTTCACATACTGTTAATACACATATTTGATGATCAATGCATAGAATAAGTGCAGTTCATTTTTGGCGTCGTGGTGTGTATGAAGAGAATTGTAAAATATGATAAGACAACATTTAGTGCCCTAGATGGAGAACATGTGCATTTGTTCTATATCCTGTTCTGGCAACACACAACGTGGTCAATGTTTTTTTTTAAAGTTTAATTATATTTACTGTGGTACAGAAAAACAACAACAGCTTCTCACATTTCATGAATACCAATTCAAAAGTACATAACACCTTTCTTTGTGAATTATTGGGACCAACGAAAACATTGTTGGACACAAAATTACTTTGAGGTTTGTTTTCCTGCAGGTTCTAACAGCCAACAAAGCAATACTGTAACAACTACAGTACCTCAACACATAACGGACATAGCAACTAAATCAATACAACAAGTCCTCCACTGGCAGGGAATAAATCAACGTATAGAACATACAACATATCCCTCATGGTGATATAAGACGAACACACAGCTACTCATGCAGATTTTGTTGTCTTTTTTTTCAAAAACAAAAATGCCCAATTTCTAAATGTTTTCTACTTTTCTTTACCAGTGAATCAAAAATGTATAAAGAAAGTTAGGTTATTTGGATCATAAAGAAGTTAAAAGAACAACAATCACAAAAGATGAATTAGATGGGAAATCTGTTTTGCATAAATAAGTTATATTATAGCAGTTGTCAAAATTGTGTCTATATATATATTTTTTTTTATATATAATCTCATATACGACTTATCTAAATATACAAACGTCTTTCTCTTTACTTGGTAAAGCTTACATAAGGGAATTCTGACAAATGCACCATGTGGGGATCACTATTAGGATAAAAAGAACAGATCGCTGTAACACTGAAGTTTGAAGCTGTAGATATTCACAGGGGGAGAAAAAAGGATATTTTAGAGAACTTATCAGAGGTTACGGGTAACATTAGATGCCTACGGAACGTTGCCTACACAGCAGCACCTTGACTGCTTAATATAGTGAGAATAAACTGTATTTGCAATCCGATGAAGACAACTCCAGCCATTGGAGTACACTGAATTGAGCGAAGCAGATGCACCGCCCAGCTGTTGTAGTTCCCCCGTAGCCTGTCTGGTAGCGAAAACACTGCTAAGACTTCACAAGTTTTTATTTGAAGGAGACAGGGTCCTGAGTGGTGTCCTGCGCAGGGTTTGCTGCTGGCGGACTGCTGCTGAACATCAGCTTCTTGATGATGTCCGCGTAGAAAGGTCCATAGACCCTCCGGTTGTGGTTAACCAGGGAGATGAACTTGGCTCCTATCGACGCTAGTTCAATCTGGATGGGAGTCAAGCCGGCTGGTATCGGTTTGACCTGCGACTTAGGATCACAGAGGAGTGCTGTAAAGTACTGCTGCACCCGATCCTCTGCACAGAAACAAAATGAACGAGAGAAAGGTTAGAAAATGTGAAACAAACCGGATAAGAGTAAAAAAAAAAAAAAAAAAACACCTCCCTACATATTCCTGTTTCAAGGGATACAAAAACCATCTGTACTGTCCACACCAAGTCTTACTCTCACTCACACCAAGTCTTACCAACGAGGGTGCGGATGGGGTTGTCCTTCTGAGCGATGCTGCAGATCTGGCCGGTGAGGGTGGCCTGCAGCGCCGGGGTCAGCGCCGGGTAGTCCCTCTCGGTTAAAGACTTGTTGAGATCGCAGCAGATTTGTGCGCTCACGCTCTCGAGTGCCTTTTCCAGGTTAAAGTCCCTACAGAAAGAGAGGAGAGTTTCACGAAAGCAACCACCGCTCATCAGATGCGTGTTTGAAATACAAATTGTTGATTTTAAAAAAAGCGGACAGTTGTGGTGTTGCATGAGGTACTTATCAACGGCCTGTGTATAACCAACACAGAAGGAGTGAGTCAGCGCTTTCCGAACAAGTACTTGACTGAAATGTACGCCTATGGATACCTCATCAAACCCTACTTTAAAACACCCGGACTATCCGCATAACATTTACAACAAAAAAAAAAAAAAAAGGAACTGACGGGCTGTGCATCCCTTCCAGCAGCACACTAATATTCCACATCAGGCGGAAGGACAAGGAGGGCAGACCCTGGACCGGACCTCCAACGGTACTGTAGATAATGAGCAGCACCGCGTTGACCGCCTGGCCCTGACGGAGCTGACACTGAATCTCCCGCAGACGTTTCTCATCCTGCATCCAGGTCTGCGGGAGAAGAGATTGAGGAATAGTTTCACAGTTTGGGAAATGCGCGCCTCACTTCAGGGGAAACAGCTCGCCAAAAAAACAAAAAATAATAATTCCACCTACCAGCACCTTTAAAGATACTATCTTAACTCATGTTAAGACTCATTGCTTCCAACAAGAACTAATCGCAGCCCGCAAAGCCCGGTTACAATTGTGGATCTCGCAAATGATGAACACCAGATAGACAAAAGGTAATAGAATCTATTTCTGTTAGTTTCACACACACATTCCCGACCCACCAACCTCAGGCAGTGCGCTCTTCTTGTAGTCCCATGTGAGGATGCGGAGGAAGGCAGCGTTGAGGAGCTGAAAGGGCCCGGGAGGCGGCCGCGGTCCTTTTTCCTGACCATCACATTGTTCCTTGGTGTTGGAGGACGACAGCTCCTCGAGTGCGGACTTGATCCACGCAGTGGTGATCTCCAAAGCACCTGCAGGCGTTGATCACAGCGATACCGATTGAGAATACACATGGTTGGTACTACCGGACTGCAGAAACGTGACTTATTAAAGGCGGTTTGTTTTTTCGCTCACCGGGTTTGTCGCCCAGGATTCTATGGAACGTCGCCCTCTCAAAATCAACCCCCGGACTCATGAGCACAGGCCTCAGATCATCGATTGTAAAGTTGACGATGTCAACCTTCATCAGGTCCAGTACACGGAAGATCTCCCTGAGTTTGTAAAAAGAAAAAAAAAGAAAGAAACGCCACCGTCATTGACCCACTTCTCATAAAAAAACAAACATAATAATTGAACTCTGACAATTAATCAAATAAAGGCAACTGTTTCCTTCGAGGACGTACTTGAACCGTGTCACCATGTTATCGGGGCTTTGGCGGAGCTTCTCGATATCCTTATCCCTAACTTGTGAACACATCTGACCCATGATGGTGATGATGTAAGAGGCGAGCCCTTGGATGTCTACGGCGTCGTTGTCGGCCTGCTGACGGATCATGTCCATGTCCAGCACCTCCGTGATCTGAGCCCGCATCCAATTGGTGCCCGGACGAAGCATTGACAGTAAAATCTGTCCAGATTGGGAAAAACGATAGGAAATATTATTTCTAGGAGCGCCTGTGACTGATTTCCCCCCCAGTCACGAAAGGAGGGGCGCGAGAGGCAGACAAGCAGATGGTAGCAAGGAAGTCAGTTCTGAGCATCGAGTGAGGCTGTGAACATCAAAACCCGCGCGGCTGACCTCTCTGACCTCCTCCAGTAGCCTGATGGCTTGCCCATACTCGGGCGGGTCGTCGTTCAGCTCCGACTCCAGAATGTCCCAGTAAGCCTTGTGCAGATTATCTTTAACCATCTTCCATAAACTAAAAACAGGAAGGGAAGATTTAGTTTGGCGTCTTTATTTCATGCCACAAGCATTTTGGTCACAAATAATGGCGTCTGTTTGGATTTCCGTCGTCTCACTTTCCTTTGAGGGCCCACAGGTCTTTGTCAATACTAGAAAACTCTCTATTCAATAGGAAGCAATAAGTAGTTCTGGCTGAACACCAACTCACTCCAGATTTTAGGACATCTCTAAGAGTCGAGCGAATAGTGGGGAGGCAGAGGCGAGTTCAGCTTCTTACCTGACAAAAGTGATGTTTGAGTTCACTCATAATCCAATAAATGTTCGGGGTGGGAAAGATGTTTTTCATACCTGCCCTGAGGTAGGAGGTCTGGTTGCAAATGGAAGCTGGGGTTCACAATGATCTCATGGGCAAAGCGCAGATTGAACAGGTCTCTGGTGGACTCATTGACCCCATCCACGGTGAATGTTTTGGGGGGGCCTGCTGTGGGATTCAAACATGGAAACAAAATGAAATGGGAGCGTGGAAATCGACCGCTGACGCGGCATGACGACAGGTCGTGAGCTTGCAGGTGAAACGCGGACCCTCAGGAACCCACAAGGACTCACCGGAGGGCGAGCGGCTTTTGGCGGCGTGGTCGCCAGCGATGCTTTCACGGGACCCGTCCAGGCCGCTGGTGGACGGCTCGTCTACCCGGTCCTCTCCGCCGGGCCGTTCGTCGTTGAGAGGCATCTTGGGTTGCAGCTGCATGCGAGAAGTTGGTTACAACCCGTAGCTTGTTGGACAGGACTTCAGCTCGGGCGAAACTGGGTTTCTCCGTCTGAACCTTTTTAAAAGGATCCTGCTCCATTATTTAGAGGAACAGTCAAATACATCAGACATCTGATGTCGGATGGTATTGGGGACTTTTATTGTTAGCAACAAATTCTATGAAAAAAAACAAACACAATAAATCAATCCTAAAACGCGTCGTCGGTTTTGCCAAAGCAATAGTTCCATTACCATAGACATGGTTATCTAAAAAGTATCCAAACAAATAAACACTGTCGCACTTAATGACAAGTTAATTATGTGTACCATTCAACCTTCACCGTCTGGTGTAAATACTCACTTAATCTGAAACTACATTTTCACAATCAGACCATTTTAAAGATTGACATTTTCAGGGACGATAAAATGGCTCGACGGTGAGAGCAAAAGACTGAGAAAGTATTAAGAGACAGACTAATGCATTCTTGGTTTTCATGGAATTCACAAACAAATAGAAACTATTAGGTGCTACATTCTCAAGAATGACCAATTTTATTGTAATAAAATGAGTCTACTGAAAAGAAAACAAATTAACTAGGTCTTAATCTTCCCTGTCTTTGTCTTAGAGGGAGAAAGAGTTGCTGTTGCCAAGAAGGTTGGCAGATTGGAACTAAGACTCCAGTCACACTCAATAAAACAGCTGGTGGGCCGGAGCCACGAGAACAGATGGCGGCCTTGTTGCACAGTTCAGAGTATCAATGTCTTATTAAACTGATGGTGCCTGAAGCCATTCTTTGGAAACACATTTTTGGGTGTGGGCTCACCGCCGCAGAGGTGGACAACATCATTCAAAGTCAGGACACAAACAGAAGAAGCCATTTTCATAAATAAGAATGTATTGAGGAGTCCTTTGTTGTCGCATGTTGCCTAGGAGACAGGGCGACACGGGGCAACATGGGACAACAGAGGGCATCTCAATCGCCAGAACGATCTTGTTACACCTAACCTGGTTTTCTTTGTCTTTTAAACAAATATGAAAACATTAGCAAGGGAAGGAAAGGCACCGTTTGTAAGAAAAGCGCAAGCCAAATCCAAACTGTTATTTTAACTACTTTGGAAATTGTGCAAATGTTCTTATGACACACAAATGATCACACTTGGACACAAAAAGAAAAGAGAAAATCAATTTGGATTACAGTTTCAATTTAGAAGGCCTGTGCGTTTCTGTTATTATCTATTCTGGGTGACCCTTGGGTGTTTCTTACTGTCCCAGCTTCAGATATCTGCTGCTAAAAACATATACACACCCCCTCGCTGCTCATTCGGTTTAAAGATAGCTCAAGGAGTGTGGGTGAGTGCTTCCATGCACCCCTGCGGTGTCTGCAGCTCATTCATTACATCATCTGCTAGACTTGACAGCTACACACAGCAACACAGAGGGGCAGTTTTCAGAGAGATTATCTAGAGTGACGGGAGCCGTGCAGCTCAGAAGATGTATGGTTATGTAATAAAATAAAGATTAAATCTAAACCGTGGACCAGTATGGATATGTGAGTTTTAAAAAATTCTGAATAATCGGTATTCTTTACTGGTTTGTAATAGTCAATACAGCACTGTAACGCAATGTGCTGGTAACACATCTATCAATATTCATATAATGTGCCCAGGTGTTTCGGATAAATGCATTATGGGATCCAAATAGAATACATATGGCCACAGTAACCTGTGCAGAAACAAAGACATCTTTCTCGGATCAACATTAGTCTGCAGTATAATGTAAACAAAGCGGCGGCGAGGGGAGGCGGGTCTAACTGCACGGGGTCTGTCGTTATTGGCTGCAGCTCCCCGTCGCTCATCCCTACATGGAAAATCTTTGGTCGCATTGCAACTGCAAAAAAAAAAAAAAAAAATAGAAAAACAACAACATCCACACACGCGTCAGAAGTGTGTACACGTGAGCTGGGCAGCAAATCAAAACAAAAACCCTTCTCGCTGAAACTCGTCACTTCTATTTGTGGTTTACACGACAGTCTTTGTTTTTTATTAACGACAGCAGCACTTTGACGTTAACGTTAGCCTGCTAGCTTGGACCGTTGACGGACGTGTTCCGTGTCCCAAGTTCTCGCTTCCACCACGAAAACCAGATATGAACGTCAAGTTGCAAGGAAAAGAAACCTGCCGAGTGGGACACAACCTAAAATGAACTGAGCTTAACAAAAAGTGTAATTTACCTCCTCCGAGTCTCCACAGAAGGAGACTGTTTACCGAAGTAGCTCAACTGTAAAAGTGAAGATCCGTCGTCGTTCAATAACGCTGCTCTCCGTTTTTAAAGGTCTCTCGTAACCCGAGCTGGTTATGAGGACACTTAGACGAAACCATTTTAAGCATAGGGGTCACTGGGTGGAAATGGTACGCTCCACTCAGTCCCCCGTGGGACGGCTGTTGGCGGGTGTGACGTCAGTGTGTTTACAAGGAACCCAAGTCGAATCGCGTGCGCGTATGAATAAACATTTTCTTACCTGAAATAAGTGGAATGAAATGTTTTGGGGGATTGAATATGATTTTAATCATTTTTTATCAAAAATGTTCACTCTCACATATGTTTGGATGTTTGGGGTCTTATTCCGTTTAAAATTTTACGTTTGAAATCTTTAAAAATAAGATTTTTTTTTCACTTTTGGGTCATATTTATTTCTACATACCACTGTGAAAGCAGCATGGTGAGTAAATAACTAATAAAATAACTTCTATAACGAACAATAAATGCTTGTCATCTAACGTTTAATTGTTCGTCAGTAAAATGACAGGAATTTTTCTTTCTTGACAGGAGTGCATTCTTTTGAGGAATGTAAAATACATGATTGTAAGCTTGCATGCTAGGGAACATGACCTAACCTGTTGGGTACCGAGAACGCCGGGCCCTATTCCTCCTATACGCGGTTCAACTAAGTCGATCAAATGTCCCAAAATCCAGCTCAAATTAACGAGATGATTGATGTCTGGCCACATCCCAGGGGAGGGATCCGCTGTCACTCTAGAGGTTTCTTCCCTTTATTCTCCCCATTGAACGCCTTTTCATTTTTTTTTTCCCTGTGCTGATCTGAGGGTTTTGGGACAGATGATGTCGCATGTGCACAACTGTAAAGCCCCCCTGAGGAAAATTCGCAAATTTGTGTTATAGAAAAAAAGAATGAACTGAATCAAATAATCATGGCAAAAACTGACACCGCCCCCTTTGATCAATACGAGCCCGACAAAGTTAAATGTTTGAGTGTTGGGAAATTGTATAGGCTCGTTTTAAGTGCCTCATCACTCTAATCGATCACATTATATTTCCTGCTGGCAGGAGGTTTTATGGAATGCTTCCTCATCCAATGAGATCTTACTAGCGAAAACCGGTTACGATGCGACCGTTACCTACCGTACCGAAGCGTTGCGCAGATGTTGGTGCTTCCTTCGGTGCCTAAGCAAATTTAAACACTTTTTTTTACTCTACTCTGATGGATTCACCTTCACAGCAGCTAACAATAGCCTACCGCTTTTTTAGCTTCAGTAGATAGCTATCCATCTACTTTCTAATTTATATTGTCTCCCCGACCATTATTAAAGTCTGGAAGTTTCAATAAACGAGACAAACAAGGAGCGTCAATGTAACATAAATTCTTTTTAATATATGTCACATATCTTTAGTTCCTGCACAATGAGCATAATTCTAAAATTCCCCAAATTCCTATTAACTAATATATATACTTCTGGCTCTTACAGAGGAGAAACACTAAGTGTACTGTAAACTGTTGTTAACAGTTACTATATTGTTCATAGTTTTAAGTAAAAAAGTTAGAACTTGCAGTTAAGCCAATAAATGTTTAGAGTATTGTTTAAACAGTTAATATATTGTCAAATTTGAAGAAAAAAATAGCATGGCATTAAACAAACCATTTTAAACAAACCAGTATCGGATCAGGAACCGTTTTGCACCAGTATCGGAAAAACCCCAATAAAGCTAACCAATCAAAACTAACACACCAGTCAAACGCTTTTTTTCAATCTGATAAAAGAGGTTGATCATCATTGTGAAACACACCTGATAAAACAAACTGGTAAAACGTGAATGTGTGTGTGTATTTTAATCTTTATATACTATATATATATGATATCACCCCACAAAAAGGAATGAGTATATGTTACATAAAAAAAAGAAAACAATTGGGGTTAGTCCATCGCTTCTCTTTGGTCTGGTTTGAGAAAAGCAGATAAACACATTAGGACATATTGACCAAAAAACAAACCATAAAACATAATTGTTTGCATCAAATGTCTGGTGTTGGACACCAGCTTTTAAGAAATGCATCCAGTAGTTAATGGTAATGTTTAGTGCATTTAATTACAGTACCTAAATTCTATCCACATTGTATTAAGACATTAGCCATGGCAAAGAATGTAAAAAAATAAACCATTAAAAAAACATTGCAAAGAGCTTTTGTGTTTCTTACTAAAATGTCACGTTATCAAATTTTCTTTAAATATTCTTTGAACAACATGCAGAACAACATAATCCACGCTTTCTATTATTTCTGACCAGCTGTACTCTGTTGAAAACACATCAGATGCATTTGGACACTTTCTTAGCAACAAATAAAATTAAATACACTGTGTAATATTTTGATTGAAGCGTTCACACCCTCTCAGCCCCAGTACCAAGTGTTCAGATCATTAAAAGCTTGGTACTCCTTGTGGTTTTGTAAGTGTCGACAAGTTTTGCAGGCAATTTCTCTTCCAGACAGAGACGGTTTAACTTTAAACGCGCTTCTCCAGTTGAAGAACCGCATGTACTCGGTGTGATTTTGGTCAAGGTAAAGTAGCCGCTCTGCCAACTCCTTTGGAGAAGGAAAGTCATCGACATGAATGAAAGACTCAGCTGGGGCGTGGCCCTCATACATGTGTCTTGGCAGGCCCATAACTACCGGAACACTTCCCCAAGTCAAAGGATTAAAGAACTTCTCTGTGATGTAATCTCTGTGGAAGGAGTTCTCAAAGGAGAGGTAGAATTTACAAGCAGAAATAATTTTTACAAAGTCTCATAAACGTGTCTTGGCGGGCCCATAACTATCATAACATAACTGTCCTTTGCTGGCAATTTGAAACTCTCCTCTGGAGAGGTCACGGGATACAGATACCCATAAGGCACTAGGACACTTGAATCACGCCGATAGTTGCATGTCAAGTTGAAAAGCTCATTCAGTCCAGTGATTTTACCTGAGTTGGTGGGCGACTCCATATTTGACCAAACCCATTTCTGAAAAACGGGGCGTGGCACTTTGGGCATGTTTTCTAAACTTCCATGTATATCCCTGTGGTGGAAGACCACCCCGTGGGCCTTATGGTAAAGTTCCCTGTTATCTGTTAAGTGGCATCTTGTGAAATTGAAAATGTCGCAGTTGAGTTCAAATTTGAAGCCAAACGGCCACATCCAGACCAGCACAACTGTGTCGGGCTCAGCGTCCACTGCTGCCGCCTGGAGCTTCTCGGTCGGACCTGAATGTGATTTATTGAGGAGCTCTGTGGAGTTGCTGGGGATTGAGTCATGGCTCTGTGCTCTCTCTGCACACAGGAAGGCAGGACAAAACTGACCAACTCTTCCTAAATCAGGGTAGGTGATGTCGGCCTTGTACGAGATGAAAAGGCAGATGAAGCAAAACGCCAAAAGGCTGCCGAAGAGAATTGGACGCTGAGGAGTCCACTGGGAGGCTGAACAGGACATGGCTCACCTTCAGAGACAGAACAGATGCACTCAATTGTCCACAACAATTGAGTGGACAATGCGTTATATGTAGGTAATTGGTTCAGGTTTTATGGAGAGCAATGAAATAATGTATTAATTCATTCATTATATCATGCATAAATGTAATATGGGTCTGTATTATTTTGACACGGGTAAATAGTTTGTGGAATGGTTGACGGTTGAATGAAATGATATTCAAAGTTGTTGGGAAAATTAAATAAGGTTCATTTTAAGTGGACAGAATATCTGTGACCTCCTGAACTGATACATGGTGTTCATGAGCTAAACAGATGTTAAGGATGATTTGTGAAGCAGGACCTGTGTATTTTCCCAAGGAACTCATGTTGTGAAGGTTTATTGCTTAGGGGTTGGTTCAACTAACCAAGTCATGGCGATCTGTGTGTGTGGGTGAGTGTTACACACTTTTTGGAGACAACAGTTTTTTAGCCACAAGAGAGTATACATTTAGGTGAACACTTCTATCAGGAGTAAACAAATGCAGTGCACATTCACTAGGCTTTTGAACACATTTTAATATCATCGCAGGTATACAAAATGTTTTTGAAAGAGTATTTCGTTCTGAACTTTATAAATCTATTTAAATGTAATTTGTTTGTGCAGCTGTTCATTCACACAATTTTTGTCTGCTGGTGTAGTTGCTATTGTGACACTTATAGCACTGCCTGCTTATGTTGCCTAAATGTAGTGAATATAATCTCATAGCATCATGTAAATTCATTCATGTTTATTTTTCTTTTATATATCGCTTGAAGAATTTTAAGTGTTATCTTCTAGTGAATGTGTTGAATTGTATATTTCAACTTATTTTTTATAAATCTCCACATACACATTGGGTTAGTTACATAATGCATCTTATCAATATTTACTTTATGTACCTTATTTTCTTTCTTCAGGGCCCTTCCTAAAGATGTTTATCGTTACCATGGCAACAAGTGAAAACTGGTTTTAGCCCGTATTAGCTTAGCTGCACGTAAACAGGAAGCCATTGTATCACTTATCAGCGTTTTATTAGAAAAACAATAACTCACAACACTAGTACTCTGCCGCGACGAGTCGTGGCAAGAGGCTCGACCCTGAGGCAGTTGCCATGACAACTCAACCTGCAACAGGAAGTGCCTCAGCCGGTTGCCAGTGCCACGATTTGCGCTCGCTCCAACTGGGAAAACAACGAGCCGCTCATCTGTCAGAAGGAGGGAACCGTCACAAGCATCCCGCACATTCTTGATCATTACCTTACTGGACTCAGCCTGGGTTGCTTTGGAATGAAATTAAATGCGTCCGTTAGTAAGCAAGGATCGCTAATTAGCATTAGCATTAGTTTCGGTCTTCTTGCGGTAAACCGCGCACGTCATTTTTTTTAAATCCTGCCCCGCCATCGACTGGTACTGCCTTCGAGATCGAGCTATTGGGCACCCCTGCCTTAGACTGTAGCTGTGGCTCAATGTCGCTAGGCTGCATCCTTAAGGACGCATTCGTCGACCGCATACGTCACTTCCGCTGCGACTCGCCTGTCCCAATCTGTCGGCTCCTCCGGCGCAGCCCTCCAGAAGCCGATTTGGAGGACACATCGGATCTATCCTTTGCGGCCCAGCATATCCCAGCATGCAGTGCGGGCCGACGAGGATTTAATTTATTCAGGACGGAGGCGGGTGATCAGACAGCGCGAGCACAATTTGGAAATCGTGATAAATGAGGAATAATGTATTATCTGTGTAACCGGGGCGGCCGTTCGCCTGGTCACAAGGGTGACAACGTCACTTTGGGGCTCTCACCCAAAGTATATCAGTTGTAATGAAAAAGAAAGGGGAGCAGAGAGGTGAAGTTCCAGTTTTGTAACAATGTTTTTTTTATTTACAAGTAGGTTTAATATTTAAAAGAAAAGGAATAATCAATCCAGAAACATTGGTCGGTTTTATGGCAAGATATAATCTATGCTTTAAAAAAAGATTACTATACTGGGGTACTCTACCAGTATAAGGTGACTACTTGAGGCCCACCGGGGCGGGGGAGTGAAAGGGGACAAGGGGGCCACCACCAGGTCAAAGGGAAGAAAACACAGCAAATCAAAAGGAATTAAAACACAGCAAACAAACAAAATAAACTGAAAGGGCCTTCCACCTCGTGAGCCACCCCCTGTAGGCCTACTATATGCCCACCTGCACTGGCATTAAAGGGACCCCCAGTATAGGGCGCAGTAATGGTTGTTTATGTATGACAAAACAAAGACACTAACCCAGAAAGAAAACAAATTAGCAATTCATAATCAAAGATACTATATAAACCGGGTAACCATAATCTATTTTAAATCAAAGGCAAAAACAGCAGTGACCAGGCTCAGCGTTGCACCACCTGATCATTTCCTGTATAAAAGAAAGAAAAGGTAAATAACGCCAATAAACATTTCACTGCTAAAAAGCATATTAAAACATGAAACAGAAAACCCCTGACATACCTCTAGATTCCGCTCAAACCCATCCGCACGTGGCGAGTGCTGTGCCTATGCCGTGGGAGACCTACAGCAAGCCCCCTCTAGCTCTAGTGGGGCAAAAGCTCCCATTTAAAGAGCACCTGGTCACACCTGTTAGGCATCACCAATTAAGGTGGTGTGGCCAAACAGGCAGGGGGGGGAGGGGAGAGCTCTACCCATCACAATCTACCCCCCATTTTCTGTCGGCGACCCGCCGATAATAAAAAACAAGCAACAAGCAAACAAAAATATAAAACACGGTTTTAAGGAAAACTACTTCCACAGCCTAGGAGTGGCAGAGAGCATATTACCCGACCCAGTTACCCGAGAAGTTGCAGCCTCTCTCCCGCTTCTCCATGCGGGCACAGGGAGATTATGGGGGTTTGGGTGTCTCCCTGCTGTCTCACGCTGGCTTCGACGAAGAGGCACTGTACTGGGTCCTTCCATAGGGTCATCATTACCCACATCCACTGGGGATATGGTGCCAGCAATAGATTCGGCTGGTGCAGGTGGTTGAGGGCAGGAAACCAAGGGCTCTAGCGTAGCTGTCACTGGTTGGGGGACAATCCACCATTCACCATTCGGTTCGCAATCTCCTTCATTGGTAGGTGATCTCCCTTGCTCCCCAGAGTCTGGCTCACTTATAGGGGTGGTTAGTGGGATTGGTCGCAGGAGAGTTCTATGGACATGCTTGATTTTTCCTGCGTCATCCAGGGGTGCGATAGAATACACTGCTCCACCATCAGAAGGGGTCTTGACAACTTTGTACCTCCGGGGACCCCAAATGTCCTGGATCTTCACTCTGCCTCGAGCACTGTTGTCTTTCAAGTAGACCATTTCACCCTCTGTCAGGTTGCCACCAGCCACATGCTGGTCATGTCGTTCCTTCCTGAGGCGAGCTGCTGCTTGGATCCTTTCCTTGGCCCCATCAAAGGCAGTCTGGAGGCGCATTTGGTGTTCTTGCAACCAATCACCGATAGTACCTCCAATTGGTTCCTGAATCTTGCCAAGGAGAAAATCAACAGGAAGTTGGGGTTCTTGGCCAAACATTAGAAGGTATGGTGACTCACCAGTGGTTTGATGGGTGGTTGTGTTGTAGGAGAAGGTAACATGTGGGAGGTAGCTGGGCCAATCTGGCTTCTTGACAGGTGGAAGGGCCTGTAATAGGCCATGTAAGGTCCTATTAAACCTCTCACATTGGCCATTCCCCTGGGGGTGGTATGGCGTGGTGCGTGTTTTTTTTATGCCATAGAAACTGCACAGCTGCTGGATTAACAAGCTCTCAAAGTTCTGGCCTTGATCCGAATGTATTCGGGCTGGCACCCCAAACCTATAAAACCATTCCCGGACCAGTACCCCTGCCACAGTGGAGGCCCTTTGATCACGGGTCGGGACAGCTTGAGTGAATTTGGAGAAGACATCGGTCATAATGAGAACTTGTTCTCTTCCATCGCGAGCACGTTCCAGCAGAGAAAAGTCAATGGCTAAAATTTGATTCGGCCGGGAAGCTACCAGATGGCCCATGGGTGTTCTCACAGCAGGGTATACGGGTTTGGCCAGGGTGCATCGTTCACATTTTTGACACCAGTCCTTGACATCCTTATACAGACCTGGCCAGTAGCACCGCTGCCTTACCAGATTAGTAGTTCTCTCCACTCCTTGATGTCCATGACCCTGATGCAGTTGTTGAAGCACCTCCTCCCGCAGGGAGGCTGGCAGCAGCAGCTGATGAATTTCTTCACCATCCGGACGGTGAATGCGACGATATAGGAGCCCATCTCTCTCCACCATCCTATTCCACTGTCGCACCAGTTCCTTTACTGGTTTCGAAAGAGCCTGGCGTTCCTTCTTGTCTGGGGGGTGTTTGCAGCGCCAAAACTGAAGGAAGCTTCTCAACACTGGATCTGCATGCTGGAGGGTGGCAAGGTAATCTGGGGTGTGAGACGGAAGGGCAAACACTGACATCTGGGTTACCTGTACTGAAGGGTCAACCTTGTTCATCAGGAATTCTGGGAGGGCGGTTCCTGGAAGGAATGTCCCCAGATCTGGCGGTGTATTGCCATGGTGAGGCTGCCTGGAAAGGGAGTCAGCATTAACATTAGAGCGACCCGAGCGATACCTAATGGAGAAGTCAAAAGCTGCTAGTTGAGCCGCCCACCGCTGTTCTGTTGCCCCCAGCTTTGCAGTGCTCAAATGGCTAAGTGGGTTGTTATCAGTCCATACAACACATTTTTGACCCAACAAATAGTCCCGAAATTTTTCAGCCATTGCCCATTTTAGGCCCAAAAACTCAAGCCTCATGGAGCTGTAATTGGGCATGTTTCGCTCTGCTGGCGTCAGGGTTCTGCTGGCATATGCTACCGGCCTCACTTTTCCATCCTGCTCCTGAGAAAGCACTGCCCCTAATCCACTGAGGCTAGCGTCCACCTCTAGAATGAAAGGCAGAGAAAAATCAGCATACGCCAACACAGGGGCACTAATTAATCTGGATTTAAGGTCCTGGAAGCTCTTCTCACATTGTTCAGTCCAAAGCTCCCCAATTATCTTCCGAGATGCTTTTTTTGTGCGAGCGTCTATCATGTTGGCTACAAGGCGATGTAGGGGGGCTGCGATTTTTGCAAAACCCTCCACAAAACGTCGATAGTAGCTACAAAAACCTAAAAATGACCTTAACTCCGTTGCATTTGTTGGTCTCGGCCAATTTGCCACAGCTGTTAATTTTCCTGGGTCTGTGGCCACGCCATCTTCGGTAATCACATGACCAAGATAGTTTACCTCCGTGCGAAAGAAGCAGCATTTCTCGAACTTTACTTTCAGTTTCTCCTGTTGCAAGCGAGACAGCACGGCATCGAGGCGCTTTAAGTGCTCATCTACTGTGGAAGAGAAGACAATCACGTCATCCAGGTATAGTAACAGTGTCTGAAAATGCTGTGCACCAAAGATCCGTTCCATTAACCTTTGAAATGTACCAGGCGCATTACAGAGGCCGAAGGGCATGCGGTTAAACTCAAACAAGCCGAAAGGTGTACAAAAGGCTGTTTTTGCCCTATCTTTCTTTGCGACCGGTACCTGGTTATAGCCGCTTGCCAAATCCATAGTTGAGAACCAACGTGCTCCTGCCAGGGCATCGAGGGACTCCTCTATCCGAGGTAAAGGAAAGGCATCCCTGCGTGTCTTGCTGTTGAGTTGACGATAATCCACACACATCCGTAGGCTTCCATCCTTCTTTTTGACGAGGACTATTGGGGACGCGTATGGACTGCAACTTTCTCGGATTATCTGGGTCTCTAAGAGCTGGTTGATATGATTTTTAACAGAATCGTAATCTGAGGGGGGGATTCTCCTAAACCTCTGTCGCACAGGCACATCATCTAGCAATGGGATTTCATGCTCTATAAGGTTAGTACATCCCAGATCCCCTTCAAATGCCGAAAAAACAGCATGATGTTTCTCAAACATGGACCGTATCCCAGCCTGCTCTGTCTCTGGAACATTGCTAAGATCAAGAGAAGCTAGTGTATCAGAGATGGTTTTCACCTGCCCCGTCTGAGAGCTCATGGTCGCCAGGGTACCCATTCCTGCTGGCTTCCTGGGAACCTCGTTGATGCCTGTAGGTAAACTCACTATCTGGGCTTGGTTTAGCATCCCTAGGGCACAGCGGGGGTAAAGTTTAACATCAGTGTCACCAACATTCACAACTGGGATGTAAGCAGTACCATGGTGCACTGTGACCATCGCAAGAGATACTAACAAACCACCAGGAAGAGCTTCTTGGTTGGCAAAAGGTTCAAACAAAGCCTGGAAAGGTGGAAGACACCTCTGCGGACAGGTCGCGGCCACCAATTTAACTGTCCCCCCGGGTATGTAGACTGGATGTTTCCCCCTCACCCTAGCAACTCCACTGGCACCTGTTGCAGGTCTGGCCCGGCTCTCGTGACACTTTTGGAAAGCTTTCTTCCATGCCTCAGGGGCCTCTTTCACAAGTGAGACATCAAAAAGGGGTGAGGCATGTTGCCCGAACAACTCTGCATAACATTCACGTAATACATTCATGCCTAAGACACCAGGAACGTCAGATTCGGGCAAAGAACCAGGAGGATCCTTAACCACTAGAATCCCCCTTTTGGGAATAACTATACCCATTACAGAAACATCGAGCTCTACATACCCCACATATGGAATGCTAAGTCCATTAGCTGCTGTAAGTTGTAGCCACTGGCATGCCTGGGGAGAGTTGTCAAAATGCTGGTGGAAAAAGGACTCCTTAATGGTGGAGACCATTGACCCCGTATCCAGTAGACAGTCTACCTCAACCCCACCAATGACCACTGCAACATGTGGACAAGGACTAACAAGTTGAGAGAGACACTGTTCATCCACTGGATAACATGAACCTGTAATGGCCCCTTCTGAATCGTGGTTCTGCAAAACAGAGGGCATTAGTTTTCCGACTGCTGATTTTGAGCAGTTGCCCTTTGCATAGGATGTTGCTGAAAAGGGACCCTTGCATTATCGCAATTACGAGCAAAATGCCCTGGCTGCTGGCAGCGTCTACAGAGAACAGGGCCTGTATTCGAAGGCCGAGACCATTTGGAGGGGTTCTGTAATTGCAAGAGGTGGGTGGAAAGCTGGTTAATTTGTTCTTGTTGTGCTTTAAGCATCTCTTTTATCTCCGCCATTTCACTTTGAGATGAGGTACTCGTCTGCTCAGACACCCTTGAAAGGTGGGTAGCACAGATGGAGGGGACGGAAAAACTGCGGGGCCTACTTTCCAGCTGTCTACCTTCCCTCTCCCATCTGACTGCCTCCCCTCGCACATCCAAGAGGGTAACTAATGGCTTAGCACGTACAACTTGTTTTAAAGCTCTGCGGAGATCTGAATCATTAACATGTTCCACAAACTGATCTCAATAGAATGGCAGAGTTAGGTATAGCCTGAGGAGCATTCCTCATGATTTTTTCCATAAGCTCAAATAAAGCATGAGAGTAGTCCTGCAACGACTCACCCTCTAGCTGTTTTCTGGAGAAGAAATCCTTCTGTAAAGCAACATAAGACAGTGAACATCCATACACTTCCTGCAGTATAGTCAAAACCTTCTCTGGATCCTCACGATCTTGCTGGGGCCTATACTTGATCTCATCTTTGGCAGACCCCTCCAAATGATCGTAAATGAAATAGGCCTGATCTATGCGAGCTAAATGCCTGGCCCGCATGCTAGCACGGACCTCTTCGACCCATTCTACCACTCCTATACCCACATTCCCCCTAAACATGGGGCACTTCCTTTCTCTGGGGATGTAGAGTAGGCGTTCAGGCGCTGCCCCTGGGAGACCAGCAGATCCAGAGGGGCCAGGGAGTTCAGAAGAGCCAGGAGTCAAGCTTGCTAGACGTGCTTGCGTTGCTGAAAGTTCTTGTGAAAGTTGTTCATTTTGAGCCCGGAGTTGAATCACCAAGTCCCGTAAGTCCAGCTGGCCTTCCTCCATTTCAATAGACTTGGGTGGTTTTGGCACCTGGGAGCCAACAGGGATACAGGTTCCTCTTCCTCTTTAAGAAGAACTTTTGGCCAACTGCTGTTTTTGCCCAAAAAGAAATAAATAGTAAGCTATCCGAAAAATATACACATGGGGGGGTCCTACATAAAGCAACTGTCAGAAAAGTGAACTAGAAGGACACGTCTCTGCTCTAAAAAAAAAATAATAATAAAATAAAAAATAAAAAGAGTCCTGCCAGCAACGCCAATTTGTAACCGGGGCGGCCGTTCGCCTGGTCGCAAGGGTGACAACGTCACTTTGGGGCTCTCACCCAAAGTATATCAGTTGTAATGAAAAAGAAAGGGGAGCAGAGAGGTGAAGTTCCAGTTTTGTAACAATGTTTTTTTATTTACAAGTAGGTTTAATATTTAAAAGAAAAGGAATAATCAATCTAGAAACATTGGTCGGTTTTATGGCAAGATATAATCTATGCTTTAAAAAAAGATTACTATACTGGGGTACCCTACCAGTATAAGGTGACTACTTGAGGCCCACCGGGGCGGGGGAGTGAAAGGGGACAAGGGGGCCACCACCAGGTCAAAGGGAAAGAAAACACAGCAAATCAAAAAGAATTAAAACACAGCAAACAAACAAAATAAACTGAAAGGGCCTTCCACCTCGTGAGCCACCCCCTGTAGGCCTACTATATGCCCACCTGCACTGGCATTAAAGGGACCCCCAGTATAGGGCGCAGTAATGGTTGTTTATGTAGGACAAAACAAAGACACTAACCCAGAAAGAAAACAAATTAGCAATTCATAATCAAAGATACTATATAAACCGGGTAACCATAATCTATTTTAAATCAAAGGCAAAAACAGCAGTGACCAGGCTCAGTGTTGCACCACCTGATCATTTCCTGTATAAAAGAAAGAAAAGGTAAATAACGCCAATAAACATTTCACTGCTAAAAAGCATATTAAAACATGAAACAGAAAACCCCTGACATACCTCTAGATTCCGCTCAAACCCATCCGCACGTGGAGAGTGCTGTGCCTATGCCGTGGGAGACCTACAGCAAGCCCCCCTCTAGCTCTAGTGGGGCAAAAGCTCCCATTTAAAGAGCACCTAGTCACACCTGTTAGGCATCACCAATTAAGGTGGTGTGGCCAAACAGGCAGGGGGGGGAGGGGAGAGCTCTACCCATCACATCTGTATTGGGAAAAACTATACAGCACATTATAAACGTTTTAGGATTTCATACTTTAGATCAAAGATGTAAAACTCAATCGCAGAGAGGGAAATTTTGAACTCGTACTACGTTGAGGGCAAAATGGATTAGAATTTCTTAAACTGGATAGAAAGCTTGTTGGATAACCTTCAAACATACTCAGAAAAACTGCTCCCACAGGTACGTGCTTCAAACAGAGCGCATGCGAGCAGCATGGAAGCGGAGCTGAGGCATCGTTTCTGGGATGAAGCATGGAACCTGCGCCGCGCCCTCAGAGTCATTCTTTGCCCTTGGAGGTCAATTGGCACTAATTGGGGTTTCAAATGGGTTGTTTCCATGTCAACTACAAACAGAAGAACTGTTCAATTTGAAATTTCTAACCTGCAAATTTAGCAAACAGAAAATCTACTCAGCGCTTAACCAGGCCCTGAACACATGTTCTCAAGAGAGAAATTGTTGGTGATCTAATCGTCTAGCTCTGACAACGTTTCCCCGTCTTTGATAGAGTGCTCACAACATGTCTGCTTTAGATATATGAATGTAACGCCTCGCTAGCCTCATGTGTCTTTCCCCTAATTGCACTCTGCTACTCACCTGCCAACCAGCTGCCTGCAATTGCCTCACCACCCCTCTCTCTCTCTCTCTTTCTCTCTCTAAATCTGGTCAATTTTCAAAATAAAACATTTTTCAGAAAGAAAATATATATAAGCTTTCTGTGGTGCGGCCCGGTGGTTGGGGATCACTGATTTAGCTGACGCTTTAATCCAAAGCGACTTTCAATGAGTGTATTTAAACCATAAGAATACAAACCCAGAAGAACAAGAAAGTGCAATTTCATCAAATAAGCCAATTTACACTTGCTGTAGATAAGAGCCACTAAAAGTACAATTAAAGTGATACAATTTGTTGTGTGTTTTTTTAGTCTGGAGAGGTGTGTCTTTAGTTTGCGGCTGAAGATGTGAAGGCTCTCTGTGGTCCTGGTGTCTTCAGAGAGCTTCACCATTTAGGAGCAAGGACAAAAAAGAGTCGAGATCTAGTCGAGTGTTTTGCTCTCAGCGAGGGAGGGACGAGCAGTTTTGCAGATGCAGAGCGGAGAGTGCGGGTCGGGATGTCGGGTTTGACCAGGTCCTGGATGTAAGCTGGACCCGATCCATTCACAGCATGGTAGGTGAGCACCAATGTTTAGAACTGGATGCGGGCGGCCACCGGTAGCCAGTGAAGAGAGCGGAGGAGTGTTGTGGGAGAATTTTGGATGAGTATATAAACCTACATGAAAGAAAACAAAGAGGACAACACATGTGTGTTCAGACTGTCATATTGAAATGTATACATTGAAAACGTTGAGGATTTAAGATTGAAAAAAAACCCACATGAAATCAGACACTCTTTATTCATGAATTAAATACATTTTGTCATCAAAGTAATTTTGACCCAAAACATTATTTAAAATCACCTCTCAACTCATCAAGAAAGCGCCTGAAAGATGTTGAAATCAGATACTAAAAACATAACACAGTACATTCACATACTAAACGGATATTATTTTAAGCATATTCTTTTAACAACATGCTCAACAACAGAATCCACGCTTTCCATCACTTCCGACCCTCTGTACTCATCAGATGCATTTTGACACTTTTTTAGCAACAGATAAAGTTAAATACACAATGTAGCATTTTGAATGAAGCGTTCACACCCTCTCAGCCCCAGTACCAAGTGTTCAGATCATTAAAAGCTTGGTACTCCTTGTGGTTTTGTAAGTATCTACATGTTTTACAGGCAATTTCTCTTCCAAACAGAGCGCCTTTAACTTTAAACGTGCTTCTCCAGTTGAAGAACCGCATGTACTCGGTGTGATTTTGGTCAAGGTAAAGTAGCCGCTCTGCCAACTCCTTTGGAGAAGGAAAGTCATCGACATGAATGAAAGACTCAGCTGGGGCGTGGCCCTCATACGTGTGTCTTGGCGGGCCCATAACTACCGGAACACTTCCCCAAGTCAAAGGATTAAAGAACTTCTCTGTGATGTAATCTCTGTGGAAGGAGTTCTCAAAGGAGAGGTAGAATTTACAAGCAGAAATTATTTTTACAAAGTCTTCATCACCAATAGGTTTTTGAAAGGCTCTCCCATAAGCATGAATCGTTACGTGTTTCTTCAGTTCATTGTAGTACTGAACTCTCTTCATATTCGGGCTCCAGTGGCTCACAATCCAACACACCAACTTGTCCTTTGCTGGCAATTTGAAACTCTCCTCTGCAGAGGTCACGGGATACAGATACCCATAAGGCACTGGGATACTTGAATCACGCCGATAGTTGCATGTCAAGTTGAAAAGCTTATTCAGTCCAGTGATTTTACCTGAGTTGGTGGGCGACTCCATATTTGACCAAACCCATTTCTGAAAAACGGGGCGTGGCCCTTTGGGCATGTTTTCTAAACTTCCATGTATATCCCTGTGGTGGAAGACCACCCCGTGGGCCTTATGGTAAAGTTCCCTGTTATCTGTTAAGTGGCATCTTGTGAAATTGAAAATGTCGCAGTTGAGTTCAAATTTGAAGCCAAACGGCCACATCCAGACCAGCACAACTGTGTCGGGCTCAGCGTCCACTGCTGCCGCCTGGAGCTTCTCGGTCGGACCTGAATGTGTTTTATTGAGGAGCTCTGTGGAGTTGCTGGGGATTGAGTCATGGCTCTGTGCTCTCTCTGCACACAGGAAGGCAGGACAAAACTGACCAACTCTTTCAAAATCAGGGTAGGTGATGTCGGCCTTGTACGAGATGAAAAGGCAGATGAAGCACAACACCAAAAGGAGGAGAAAAGGACGCTGAGGAGTCCACTGGGAGGCTGAACAGGACATGGCTCACCTTCAGAGACAGAACAGATGCAGCAATTTTAGACACAACATTTGAATGGACAATGTGTTGAGTTGTCTGTCATTTCAAAAGGTGTTTTCGAAGTGTTATATTTCCCAATCTTTTAAAGTTTATCCCAAAATACACAAAATGTATCTGACAAAACCACAAACGATTGTCTTCCACCCCAGTGGACATACTTACATAGTGACATACTTTCATCTAGCAGACCAACTGAAAGTTCACCGTCATTGATCTCAGAAACGGATGTGGTCAAATGGAGTACACTGTGTGCACATATACATATATTCATTTATTATTTATTTAAATAATTTTTACCTTACTATATCTATCTTACTCATTACTGCTGCTGCTCTTGTTTTGTACCATGTATGTTGTTTTCACTGTTCCATTTGCTACTGCAATCCTGGCATTATCCCCATTGTGGGACTATTAAAGGAATATTTTACGTTATCAAACTCTCGCTCCCACCCTTAAAATTTTTCATTTTAAAAGTAAAAATGTATCAACTCTTATTTAGATATAATCTTACAAAAGACAAATGGGTTAGTTTTTACCTTCTATGCTCTGGTTCACTAGAATGTGGAAAACACCAAATATATATGTCAGCCTGAATGTTTGGGTGAGTGTAATGTGTTTCTGGTTTGTGGGGACTAGTGTGCTGCAGTATAAAAAGAGGAAGCTGCTGACTTATGGCAGCGGCAGGAACAACGAGATGGTGGCGGAGGAACCGAACGAACCGAACGGGGCTGCAATGGATGGAAGCAGACGAGAGCCCGCCGTCGTCAGCGAGAGTCGCAGTTGTTGGATGATCGATACTCACAATTCCTGAGCTAAGGGACGGTTGCCACGACGTCACACCAAGCCCTCTACAGTCTACACTGAACACAGTACGGCCGGATTGACTGCAAATGGATCCCAGTTGTCTCACAGCTCGTGACTGGACTTTCCTGTTGGACGTTTAACTTATTGGAAGACTGCTTTTAAAATATAAATTACCTTTAACGTCTTAATATAAGAATAAAAGTATTTTTTTATACATATCTCTCTTGTGGTACTCCTGTGTCCTGGGCATTCCAAATTTAAGGAGGGGCCGTACGGCTGACATACACACACAGTGAACAGTGAATATATACACACAGTCAGGGCTTTAGTGGAGGGTCAACGCACGTAAACGGGGTTTACGCATCTCTGGAATTTTGCAAATAGCGTTTCCGCACTTCGAAATAGCATTTACCCTCCTTGAAGTGCCGTTTATGCACCTCAAGTTCCCCGCGCTTTGCAGATCAGCCCGCCTGTTCGGATGGATTCATTAATTACTTTGACTTCTGGAGCTTTCTCTTAATGGTTAAGGAACCGTGTGAATTTTCATGTTCACACGGTTCAGCTGTAACCGCTGTAACACAACCTGGGCCTGTTTCCTTGTTCTTTTGTCCCCCCCTCCACCCCCTTCATTTTTTGAGGCCTACACATACCTTTCTTTACTGTTTTCTTGAAATGTAATAAACTCCATTCTACAAACTGTGATTCACTGTCATTGATTGTATATGACTTAAACTGAACATAATGCAATATAGGACAGGACAGCCTTACAGAGTCTTTGTGTTGCGTTACTGAGCATAGCGTTGCATCGCGTCAAGGTCGTTTACAAACCTCTAATTTTACCACAACTGCACACAGTGAATTCTGAGAAATGCGTTGGTATAAGTCAGAGACCCAAGACCCTTCCAGACTGGTTTGTTTGTGTTTTTAAATATATATGAATGCATTTCTTGCACTGCACTGTTGATGGACATTTTCAAGGCGTAAGAACTTTAAATGCTTCACAAAATGTCTCTTGGAACGTTTCCGAACTCAACTGATCACTGTAAAAATGTCTACCAGCCTCAGAATTAACATAAAAAGCTACATTTGATTGCAATTCATCTTTTTTTTTTTTTATCAAACTTGTTTAGATTAAAATAGTCATTGAAGACCTCTTACTGTGCTCCTGGTCTCTGCTGAGCCTCAGGTGGAGGAGGGTAAAGAAGTAGAAGGGATCCTCTGTTCGACTGATGGCACGAGTGTCAAGAGGATGATGTACAAGGTGTAGACGTATGTATTTTCAAAATAAAAATAGATTAATTAAACATCCTGGCTAGACAAACAGGATGAAGATCTATGATTAAAAAGCTAGTTCCTCTGTTGCTTTGACTAAGTGAAACAGAATGGGGGAAGTTGGTGGTTGACAAGAAATTATGTTGAATGTGTGAGTTTGAGGTTGACCATAAGGAACCAATAGCAGTGTTTGAACTTGTCACCTGACTATCGTGCTTTTAAGTGATGAAGACAAGCTGCAAATGCAAATCAGGGTCGCAGAGGGAGTTTTAGCCCAGGTGACATTTTTTTAAAAGGTAAGAAAATCTCTGGTACAAATAGATCAGGCTCAGTAGCCTAATTATACACTCTTACATTTTGGCTTGAATTGATTTATTTAATTCAAATATGCTAGATTACTGTGTACGCCATTAGCAATGGCAAATATTATGTAAAAAAGATACACAAAATAACTTCTTTAAAAAATGAGTTTTAATCAAGGTAAAATGAGCATTCCATGCAAACAACATTTGAATCAGCATGAGGGGTCTGCAGAGATCAGTCTCCTAGAGCTCAACTACAGTGCATAGTGGCAGGACTACAGTGACCTTTTCTTTGGTCTTACTTAAATGCACAGAGGATGTATTAACCACACATCTTCTAGCAATGCGCTCAACTGGCAGAAATGATGCTGGGTACGACGTGTCTGTTCCCTGCAAGCCCCAAACTTCTTTTGGCTTTCCATAAAAATGTCTGTCCGGGTGGAGATGAAGCCAGGAAACTTGTGCAAGAACATGTTTAAATGCCGTACCCTTTGACACATTAACAACTATAAACTGCTTTATAATGGCTGGTTGTAGTTCTGCTAGAGGGTCAAGGACGGGTTCCTCAAAACTGTTAGTGTTTCCACACCTCTTAGCATGAACACATGCTGACCTTTATGCTCTGCATCTATCGATTGAGTAAGTTACATTCATATATGTTACCCGTTTACATGTGATGGCAAAACATTCAACCTCAGTGACACAAGGGTACATGTGATGATACATTGTCAACATTGCATGTCTGTCAGACTCAAGAGTGTCTGGTGGAATGGAGAAAGAGGAACCACTGTACAGATTTCTAGGGAAAGTCGTTCTGCTGACACCAAAACACAGAGCTGATCAGCTGTTTCAAAGTCCCAACCATTTGTCTTCCTAAAATACTGGTCCTTCCGTATAACAATAACCTCGTATGTGATTGGAGGACCCTTAGACTCCTCGTCCAATCACGTGTGAGGTCATAGGCATGACTGATACAGCAGTACTTGCAAGACGAGCATACAAACAGACACGTGTGTGACTATATTCAGAAGAACTGTATCTCCAGTTCCTTTGTTTGGTTTTTGCTGGTTCGTGAATAATGGCTGGACGACGTCTCGCGTTCAACTCGCCTTCAACTCCTCTCCGCGGTCACCAACTTTCGGCCAGTCCGCAGACAGACGAGAAGAAGCTGCTGAAAGCTCTCAGTGGATCGTCTCGTCAACTCCAACAACAAACTGCCGATATCAACGAGCGGTTCGCTCCACTGGAGCGTTCGGGACTCTGCGGGTTTCTGTCCATGGAGGAGAGGAACCGACTCAAAGAAGAGGAGACGGGCGCACAATCCCAAGATAGCGGTAAGAATACGTTCGATGACTGCAAGCTAAGCTAAAAGTAGCGTAGCCTCAAGCTAAGCTAAGAGTAGCCTAGTAGCCTTACAAGTGAGCAGAAACAGCTTTATTAAAGTGTATTTTCTTTGCCGTGTCGTTTACAGGAAGCGGTGCGCCGTCTTCACAACTCCGAGACGAACTACAGGCGCTACGAACCGGAGCAACGGTCAGATTTACAGAATATGCTTTCATTCTGCGGTATAAGGGAATATATACGTATGGATACCGATCATAACTGTACATTTTGTTTTCACAGACTAATCTCGCCTCATAATGAGGCGGTGACCTCGTATTTGCTGCGGGAAAAGTCCAGATTTAGACGACGTCATTGTGTGTAAGTGACACTGTTTCTCCTTCATTGTTAAATGTTACTATGACTTGATTTAGATTTTTTTGTATTCATACCACACTCATTTAATTGTTTTCCAGACGCCTGTGAGACGTATTTTGAGACGGGACGCAGGAGCTTCAGGTTCAGGCGGAACACTCATTGCGGGCGGAAGCTGCGAAGGATTCAGCGCGGAGTCGAGCGAGAAGAAAGCGGGTCAGAGTTTATTTGCTGACTTGTTTCAGGTGCATTGATAGATGTGTTGTGTCCGTACGCATCGCACAGTACTGATTCATTGTTGTTTTTACAGCTGCTTGAATCGAGACAAAGTGCGCTGGCTGATGACGAGGTGGAACTCTGGAAATCCGCCACCGTGGAGCTCACGTCGGACGGAGGGGACGGCGTTGTTGGCGGGGTCTCGGGGTGGATTGTACGGTCGCCACACACACAAGGCGCCTGCACAACAGACCTGCCTCGGAAAACACGGCGCCAGTGACGGTCAACAACCCCGAGGAGGCAGACGGACAGTTTACTGAGCTGTAGTTTTTACCCAAGTGTGGGCAGATCCTTGTTGTTTGTGTGTTGTTAATAAAGCTCTTTCTTTGCATAAACATGTGGCAAATGTTCATTTTCTCTATAAATTCATTGATGTCCTGGTTGGTATTGTTGTGTTCAAAAATGAAGAAACGCCGGACGGACAGAGGTCATCGCTAGACAAAAGGTTCAAATCAAATGTATTTAATAAAGGAGATGGCGTTGTGGTAAAAAGAACATCTCAGCTGAGGAGCCGCTGGTCTCAGCGACCAACAGGCCCCAGGTCAGTCCTTTGACCGTCCCTAGTGCCCGTCTGTCGCCTCCACCAGTGAACTCCAGAACAATGGTTGCTACAGGTATTTATAAGAATGCTTAAAGGTGTGAAAGTCAGTGTCCACACCTCTGGGAGTCTTCTGGTGAGTTCAATGTAACTCGGGATTTCAAATGATCCTTAGTCAATATCAGTGGTTGTGCAAGTATTACATGCATGCATTCCAGTTGATTACATTACATCAAATACAATCATAACTGCATTGGTATTATTCTATTACAGTTGCAGAATTACAGTGGTTTTACAATATTGTCATTACTTTATTGATTATACAGTTTCAGAAGCATGGCTGTATTCTGGTGTACACTATATGCATTTTTATTAATTTTATGAACCGGATCGTCAATTTTCGTCAAACCCAGGAATAGAATGCTGGCCATAGTGGAGACTGTTACCACAGAAATAAACAATTGTTTGTATTTACTAAATCATGAGTCCAATAAACCTGAGAAGCGGTTGTCCATGTCACTGTTCTCTGCTGGTTCTTCAGTGAGCTTTCAGCAGTGGTTCACCTCCATTTGTGTGTGCGGGTGTTTTCTCGACAGTCAACTTTGGGAACTCCGTACTAACGCCCACTTTGACCGCTAAAAACCTCGGCGTCACACTCGACAGCCAACTCTCCCTGACTCCCAACATCACCGCGACAACGCGATCCTGTAGATACACGCTCTACAACATCAGGAGAATACGTCCCCTTCTCACTCAGAAGGCAGCGCAGGTACTGATTCAGGCTCTTGTCATCTGCCACCTGGACTACTGCGACACCCTCCTGGCTGGTCTCCCTGCCACCGCCATTCGACCTCTGCAGCTCATTCAGAATGCAGCAGCTCGACTGGTCTTTAACCTTCCGAAATTCTCCCACACTACTCCACTCCTCCGCTCTCTTCACTGGCTACCGGTGGCCGCCCGCATCCAGTTCAAAACATTGGTGCTCACGTACCATGCTGTGAATGGATCGGGTCCAGCTTACATCCAGGACACGGTCAAACCCGACAACATCCCGACACGCACTCTCCGCTCTGCATCTGCAAAACCACTCGTCCCTCCCTCACTGAGAGCAAAACACTCGACTAGATCTCGACTCTTCGCTGTCCTTGCGCCGAAATGGTGGAACGAGCTCTCTGAAGACACCAGGACCGCAGAGAGCCTTCACATCTTCCGCCGCAAACTAAAGACACACCTCTTCAGACTCTACCTCGACTAAAAGACTAACAAATTGTAGCACTTAAATTGTACTTGTAACGTCACTCATCTATAGCAAATTGTAAATTGGCTTATTTGAGGAAATTGCACTTTCTTGTTTCTTGTTCTCCTGAGTTTGTACCCTATGGTTGAATGCACTTATTGTACATCGCTTTGGATAAAAGCGTCAGCTAAATGACATGTAATGTAATGTAATTTATTCCTAATGAAAATTATATCAATATATCATATGTAGTTACATGTGTGTATGGTTTGTTGATAAAATCATTACAGGATGATGGTCTGTAACAAAGTTTCCCATTCTGTACTGCTGTTACGCCCTATGATCTAAAAATTTGCTTCAGTCATTAAGATGCTGTATGAGATGTACCGTGCACTGTACATCTCATATCCACACTCAACAACTTGCAGCCTAAGTTTAAGAGAAAATAACAAATTATTTACAACAAGGTGTACAGATTCGGCTCAAATCACATTATTTCCCACTCATTTAAACGTCTCCCTCTGTGCTAACTATTTACATATATTCACCCACTGGACTGTTGACCGTCTCTACGTCCCTATGGGTCGCAACTCTCTCGGAACGACTCCCTTTTGTCTTACCAGACCGGCTCCACAGACAGCGTCCTGTCCTTTGTCTCTTGCCCAAGACCCATGGGTGTGTGTGCTAATGTGCATCTTCAGGTGTGCTGCTGCTGTGTGTCTATGTGTGATGTGTTGCAGACTCTGATTAGAGTCTCTCTTAAACTCAGTAATTGTAAAAATGGTTAAACAATAAATGGGAAAATTGTGTTAATGTAAGCAGTAACAATTACATAAACGTTAAAACAAAGAATCACATAGAGCCTAGAAAAAGTCCATAGACCGTTTGTAATGCAAGCAAAAATCACATGGTCCTAAGAATGGAGGAAGAAAAAAATGTTAGGATCATTTGGAAAATGGGGACAAGGGGAGACACTGTTTAATGGGAATACAGAGTGGAGGTAGGAAATACAGAAACTGTGTTACATCTGTGTTTCTTC